ACATGTTTATATGACTGTGACATACCACAGGGACATGTTTATATGACTGTGATATACCACAGCGACATGTTTATATGTCTGACATACCACAGGGACATGTTTATATGTCTGTTACATACCACAGGGACATTTTTATATGACTGTGATATACCACAGGGACATGTCTTATATGTCTGACATACCACAGGGACATGTCTTACATGACTGTGACATACCACAGGGACATGTCTTATATGACTGTGACATACGACAGGGACATGTTTATATGACTGACATACCACAGGGACATGTCTATATGACTGACATACCACAGGGACATGTTTTTATGAATGTAACATACCACAGGGATTCTGTGACATACCACGGGGACATGTTTATATGACTGTGACATACCACAGAGGACATGTTTATTTGACCGTGACATACCACAGGGACATGTTTATATGACTACATGTCTTATATGTCTGTGACATACCACAGGGACATTTCCGTTATGACTGTGACATCCAACAGGGACGTGTTTATATGACTGTGACATACAACAGGGACATATCTTATATGTCTGTGACATACCACAGGTACATCTCTTATATGACTGTGACATACGACAGGGACATGTTTATATGACTGTGATATACCACAGGGACATGTCTTATATGTCTGACATACCACAGGGACATGTGTGATATGACTGTGATATACCACAGGGACATGTTTATATGACTGTGACCTACCACAGGGACCTGTTTATCTGACTGTGACATACCACAGGGACATGTTTATTTGACCGTGACATACCACAGGGACATGTTTATATGACTCTGACATACCACAGGGACATTTTTATATGACTGTGATATACCACAGGGACTTGTTTATATGACTGACATACCACAGGGACATGTCTATATGACTGACATACCACAGGGACATGTTTCTATGACTGTGATATACCACAGCGACATGTTTATATGTCTGACATACCACAGGGACATGTTTATATGACTACATGTCTTATATGTCTGTGACATACCACAGGTACATCTCTTATATGACTGTGACATACCACAGGGACATGGTTATATGACTGACATACCACGGGGACATGTTTATATGACTGTGATATACCACAGCGACATGTTTATATGTCTGACATACCACAGGGACATGTTTATATGTCTGACATACCACAGGGACATGTTTATATGACTCTGACATACCACAGGGACATTTTTATATGACTGTGATATACCACAGGGACTTGTTTATATGACTGACATACCACAGGGACATGCTTATATGACTGACATACCACAGGGACATGTTTTTATGAATGTAACATACCACAGGGATTCTGTGACATACCACGGGGACATGTTTATATGACTGTGACATATCACAGGGAGATGTTTATATGACTGTGACATACCACAGGGAATGTTTATATGACTGTGACATACCACAGGGACATGCTTATATGACTGACATACCACAGGGACATGTTTAATACCACAGGGACATGTTTATATGACTGTGACATATCACAGGGAGATGTTTATATGACTGTGACATACCACAGGGACACCACAGGGACATGTTTATATGACTGTGACATATCACAGGGACATGTTTATATGACTGTGACATACGACAGGGACATGTTTATATGACTGTGATATACCACAGGGACATGTCTTATATGTCTGACATACCACAGGGACATGTCTTACATGACTGTGACATACCACAGGGACATGTCGTTTATATGACTGTGACATACCACAGGGACATGCTTATATGACTGACATACCACAGGGACATGTTTATATGACTGACATACCACGGGGACATGTTTATATGACTGTGACATACCACAGGGACATGTCTAATATGTCTGTGACATACCACAGGGACATGTTTATATGACTGTGACATCCCACAGGGACATGTTTATATGACTGTGACATACCATAGGGACATGTTTATATGACTGACATACCACAAGGACATGTTTATATGACTGACATACCACAGGGACATGTCTAATATGTCTGTGACATACCACAGGGACATGTTTATATGACTGACATACCACAAGGACATGTCTTATATGACTTGACATACCACAGGGATTCTGTTTATATGACTGACATACCACAGGGACATGTTTATATGACTGACATACCACAGGGACATGTTTTTATGACTGTAACATACCACAGGGATTCTGTTTCCTTCCACTGTATGTGTGTCACTTTCAAGCAATCACTGATCAAGTTAAGAGGATTTATTACCTCCATGTGTCCTGTTTGAAACTGAAAAAGTATTGTTGAAACTTTGCTGTCTACCACACCTATATATACATATATTGCTAGCTGCCTTATTTTCTGTGTTGATCCTGGCAATTTGTAGTTATTATTTAGCTTTAATCCTTAATATTCATAAAACCAACTTGTTTCGTTTCCAAAGCTGAAATGCATGACTTACAAGCTTTTACAAGTTGGCTTTTTTTTTGTCAAGCACACATTTATTTAAACATAGATTTTGTTGTCATATTATATGTTAGTATACATATTGTATTTACCATTGTTCTACCTGATGTTTTCATCAGACTTATACAGTGTTGATACCTCTTTCACTGGAACATGAATGTCAAAGTTATCAACTTGGTGATATCTTTTTGTTTGATGTTAAGAAAAAGAATTTCTGTATTCCTCAGGTTTTGTGACAGATACAGTTTGATATATATATATAGGTTGTTAAGATTTTTCCATATTGACAACTGAATCAAAATCAAAGTATTGATCAGGCTTTTTGAAATCTTTGTATATTTAAAAAAACAGCCCATCACTTTTTTTGTATGAGTTCTACAGTGACTATTATAGCTAAGTCATTTTCGAGGTAAGGTGTTCACGTCAGCTGTCTATCAGATATATACAAATATTGGTGGATATCCTAACTCATTCCTGTACAGATCTATCCCCTATAAACATATGATCAGGGTTAGACACTAACGTTATTGCTTGGTACGTAGTCCACAGGACTAGTTGAACAGATTATTTACTAGTCCTTCGTCAACGTAACTAGTCCAAGATTTCCTGATATGGGAACATTACGATCTTACGATCTACAGCACGAAACATCAAAAGCAATCGACTGTAGGGGACTTAAAATAACTATTGCCATAAAAATACGGTGAAGTTTTAGAAACATTTTCACAATTATCTTGCAATATATCTTATTTTAAGCAGTTTTCTAAATTTAAAAAAGGAATATTCTTTTTTATAATTCACAAGTCCAAAGGACCAGTTCGGTAATTAGGTGATTCACTAGTCCTTGCTGAAATCTACCAGTCCAGGACTAGCAGACTAGTGTTAGTGTCAACCCATGTTAAGTCTACTAGTCCAGGACTAGCGGACTAGTGTTAGTGTCGACCCCTGTTAAATCTACTAGTCCAGGACTAGCAGACTAGTGTTAGTGTCGACCCCTGTTAAATCTACTAGTCCAGGACTAGCAGACTAGTGTTAGTGTCGACCCCTGTTAAATCTACTAGTCCAGGACTAGCAGACTAGTGTTAGTGTCGACCCCTGTTAAATCTACTAGTCCAGGACTAGCAGACTAGTGTTAGTGTCGACCCCTGTTAAATCTACTAGTCCAGGACTAGCGGACTAGTGTTAGTGTCAACCCCTGTTAAATCTACTAGTCCAGGACTAGCGGACTAGTGTTAGTGTCAACCCCTGTTAAATCTACTAGTCCAGGACTAGCGGACTAGTGTTAGTGTCAACCCCTGTTAAATCTACTAGTCCAGGACTAGCGGACTAGTGTTAGTGTCAACCCCTGTTAAATCTACTAGTCCAGGACTAGCGGACTAGTGTTAGTGTCAACCCCTGTTAAATCTACTAGTCCAGGACTAGCGGACTAGTGTTAGTGTCAACCCCTGTTAAATCTACTAGTCCAGGACTAGCGGACTAGTGTTAGTGTCAACCCCTGTTAAATCTACTAGTCCAGGACTAGCAGACTAGTGTTAGTGTCAACCCCTGTTAAATCTACTAGTCCAGGACTAGCGGACTAGTGTTAGTGTCGACCCCTGTTAAATCTACTAGTCCAGGACTAGCAGACTAGTGTTAGTGTCAACCCCTGTTAAATCTACTAGTCCAGGAGTAGCGGACTAGTGTTAGTGTCGACCCCTGTTAAATCTACTAGTCCAGGAGTAGCGGACTAGTGTTAGTGTCAACCCCTGTTAAGTCTACTAGTCCAGGACTAGCAGACTAGTGTTAGTGTCAACCCCTGTTAAGTCTACTAGTCTAGGACTAGCAGACTAGTGTTAGTGTCAACCCCTGTTAAATCTACTAGTCCAGGACTAGCGGACTAGTGTTAGTGTCAACCCCTGAATTGTTTAACATTGATGATATATCCTAATGCTAACATAAACTACAGCCTTATTCTGGAACTGACTGTCAACATACAGACGAACTGGAAAATTCTGACCAGCAGCTAGTGGGGCTGGAGAAATATCGATACACTGTATATCTCAATTCTAGTACTATCAGCAGTAGGAACCGGTGATAAATGAAATGTTAAATCTTGCATTATCTGTCAGTTTAAAGACTTTAGAATATTTATATCTTCATTCTGGCACTATCTGCAATGTATAGCGACGGGAAAAATTTAGTTTGTTAATTCTAGTTCCAACTATCAGCAAGACACGAGAAATTTTGATAAATTATTTGTAGTTCTATTAGATGTGGCGAGGGGAAGAATATATTGATGTTCATTCTGATACTGACTAGCATTTAAGTAATCAGGTAAATACGCTTGTTTAGTACAGTTTGTAAGCAGTGGGGACAGGAAAAGTATTAATGTATTAACTTTGGTCTTATCTACGGGATACTGGTGAAATATTGATGCAATTTATTCTGGTACTGTCAGCAGTAGAGACAGGAAAATGTTAAATCACAATTGTTTGCGAATTTGACTGACACATGAGTTTGTGTTTGCAGAAGAGGAAGATGATGGGAGACAATACGTCCACACAGGTACTGCGGGACCTGGAGATATCACTGCGCACCAACCACATCGAGTGAGTCACAGTTCAAAAAGTCAACGACCAATACGGGTTAAAAATGCCCAATTGCTCAACCAATCTCAGTGGGAAATATGTTTACTTCCAAAACAGCTATAATTGAGATATTTTGCTCGTACATTACAAAGAACATTATTAATTTTGTTTAAAATATCGAAATCTATTTTTGAAGTATGCACAAAATCTTTATTTGAACACTTAACCCATCCAACCCTGAAATTTCATAATGAACTATTCCAAGCTTTGAATTGGAAGCGTTCAAATGTGTCTTCAGGGGTGAAGGAGTTAAAAGTTTTTGGTGTTAACATGACATTTCTTAATTTAAGGACATTACGTTAAAGATATTGTAGGATAAGAACAGGAGATGAAGAAGAGACATATATATGTAGAGAAGTTCATTTGGTTTCCATCTCAATAATATTTACAAATACTGTGACAGCATAATCATGTGTTTGTATCTTACAGATGGGTGCGAGAGTTTCTCAATGAAGACAACCAAGGTTTGGATGTACTGGTAGATTATCTGTCCTTCACACAGGTCATGATGAGGTGAGTAGCTCCTGACACATTGTGGGGCAAGAGTTGCCAGGTGGTTAAAGCGTCTGACAGTCTATTTTCACTAGCCCTCCACTGCATGTCATGGGTTTGAGGCATACATGGGGCATGTTCCATATACTTGCTACAGGTCAGTGGCTTCTCTTCGGGCATTCCAGTTTTCTTTCACTAACACCTGGCAAATCCTTAACCCTTCCACCCCTATGCAACTTTAGAACACTCTACCATTCATTGATCTGGATGAGTCCATTATGATCTACAGTGGTGAAAGGGTTAAATGACCATAGCAGTTAATAGGACATAAAACACCTACAAACGAAACCCTGACACTTTATATTAGCCTTGAGGAATAGTCATTTCCCCCACAAGGAATGTTAAAATACACACACAGACAGACCCTTCTCTTCCCCAATAAGTTATTTTTCAAACACTATCTTAGACACCTTCCACTAATTCACAAGGTCTGCGTCAGTCTGTCTGTCCGAAAACCTTCCTCTTCTCCACAAGGTCTGCGTCAGTCTGTCTGTCTGTCCGAAGACCTTCCTCTTCTCTACAAGGTCTGCGTCAGTCTGTCTGTCTGTTTGTCTGAATACCTTCCACTTCTTCAAAAGGTCTGCCTCAGTCTGTCTGTCTGTCTGAATACCTTTCACTTCTTCAAAAGGTCTGCCTCAGTCTGTCTGTCTGTCTGAATACCTTTCACTTCTTCAAAAGGTCTGTCTCAGTCTGTCTGTCTGTCTGAATACCTTTCACTTCTTCAAAAGGTCTGTTTCAATCAGTCTGCCTGTCTTAGAAACCTTCCTCTTCCCCACACAAGCTGTGTCTATCAGAGTCTGTCCAACAGACCTTCCTTATGTCCACATATATAGTCTGTTTCAGTCAATCTATCACAGGCTTGAGAGACCTTTCTCTTCCCCACAATGTCACTGTCTATCACAGTCTGAGAGACCTTTATCTTCCCCACAATGTCCCTATCTATCACAGTCTGAGAGACCTTTCTCTTCCCCACAATATCCCTGTCTATCACAGTCTGAGAGACCTTTCTCTCCCCCACAATGTCCCTATTTATCACAGTCTGAGAGACCTTTCTCTTCCCCACAATGTCTCTGTCTATCACAGTCTGAGAGACCTTTCTCTTCCCCACAATGTCCCTATTTATCACAGTCTAAGAGATCTTTCTCTTCCCCAAAATGTCCCTGTCTATCACAGTCTGAGAGACCTTTTTCTTCCCCAAAATGTCCCTGTCTATCACAGTCTGAGAGACCTTTCTCTTCCCCACAATGTCTCTGTCTATCACAGTCTGAGAGACCTTTCTCTTCTCCACAATGTCCCTGTCTATCACAGGCTTGAGAGACTTTTCTCTTCTCCACAATGTCCCTGTCTATCACAGTCTGAGAGACCTTTCTCTTCCCCACAATGTCTCTGTCTATCACAGTCTGAGAGACTTTTCTCTTCTCCACAATGTCCCTATCTATCACAGTCTGAGAGACCTTTCTCTTCCCCACAATGTCCCTATCTATCACAGTCTGAGAGACCTTTCTCTTCCCCACAATGTCCCTATTTATCACAGTCTGAGAGACCTTTCTCTTCCCCACAATGTCCCTGTCTATCACATTCTGAGAGACCTTTCTCTTCTCCACAATGTCTCTGTCTGTCACAGTCTGAGAGACCTTTCTCTTCTCCACAATGTCTCTGTCTATCAGTCTGAGAGACCTTTCTCTTCCCCACAATGTCCCTGTCTATCATAGTCTGAGAGACCTTTCTCGTCTCCACAATGTCCCTGTCTGTCCCAGTCTGAGAGACCTTTCTTTTCTCCACAATGTCCCTGTCTATCACCGTCTGAGAGACCTTTCTCTCCTCCACAATGTCTCTGTCTATCACAGTCTGAGCGACCTTTCTCTTCTCCACAGTGTCTCTGTCTATCAGTCTGAGAGGCCTTTCTCTTCTCCACAATTTCCCTGTCTGTCACAGTCTAAGAGACCTTTCTCTTCTCCACCATGTCCCTGTCTATCACAGGCTGAGACCCCTATCTCTTCCCCACAATGTCCCTGTCTGTCACAGTCTAAGAGACCTTTCTCTTCTCCACAATGTCCCTGTCTATCACAGTCTGAGACCCCTATCTCTTCCCCACAATGTCCCTGTCTATCACAGTCTGAGAGACCTATCTCTTCCCCACAATGTCCCTGTCTGTCACAGTCTGAGGGACCTTTCTCTTCTCCACAATGTCTCTGTCTCACAGTCTGAGAGTCCTTTCTCTTCCCCACAATGTCCCTATCTATCACAGTCTGAGGGACCTTTCTCTTCTCCACAATGTCTCTGTCTCACAGTCTGAGAGACCTTACTCTTCCCCACAATGTGCCTGTCTATCACAGGCTTGAGAGACCTATCTTTTCCCCACAATGTCCCTGTCTATCACAGTCGGAGAGACCTTTCTCTTCCCCACAATTTCCCTGTCTATCACAGGCTGAGACCCCTATCTCTTCCCCACAATGTCCCTGTCTATCACAGTCTGAGAGACCTTTCTCTTCTCCACAATGTCTCTGTCTCACAGTCTGAGAGACCTTTCTCTTCCCCACAATGTCCCTGTCTATCACAGGCTTGAGAGACCTATCTCTTCCCCACAATGTCCCTGTCTATCACAGTCTGAGAGACCTTTATCTTCCCCACAATGTCCCTTTCTATCACAGTCTGAGAGACCTTTATCTTCTCCACAATGTCCCTGTCTATCACAGTCTGAGAGACCTTTATCTTCCCCACAATGTCACTTTCTATCACAGTCTGAGAGACCTTTATCTTCTCCACAATGTCCCTGTCTATCACAGTCTGAGAGACCTTTCTCTTCCCCACAATGTCCCTATCTATCACAGTCTGAGAGACCTTTCTCTACCCCACAATGTCCCTGTCTATCACAGTCTGAGAGACCTATCTCTTCCCCAAAATGTCCCTGTCTATCACAGTCTGAGAGACCTTTCTCTTCCCTACAATATCTCTGTCTATCACAGTCTGAGAGACCTTTCTCTTCCCCACAATGTCTCTGTCTATCACAGTCTGAGAGACCTATCTCTTCCCGCAAGTCATTTTTGTCAATCAGCATTTTGTTTATAAGAGACCTTCCTCTTTCCCACAAGTTCTGGGTCAATCACAACCTGTCTGCAGTCGAACCTTCCTGATTGGATTTGATACGAGGAAATTGAAACTTGTCGACTGTGTGTTCAAAGATAAGAGCTTGCTTTTCACGTCTATATTTAATTCACAAATAAGGAAGTCATCCTTCAATTGTTTCATAGAAAAATGTTTTTGACTAATAAATTGAAAAAAAAAAGAATTAGCCACATAACTACGTCGGTGTATCACAAACGAAAGGATAATAGAGTCCAGTCTAGGTTGTTAAATAGGGAAAGCAGAATTTCAAAAAATATGTATTTTTTCTGACATTTTGTACAAAAATATTACTCACAAGTAATAAGTTTATCGTATTCCTTTGGTAAATTTATCTGATGTGTTGACTTGAGAAATGCTGTATAAATATTTGTCACCCTTCTAATTTGTAACACTCTTTCTGATTGGATATCTTGCCGGGGTCTATAGATCTATAGACCCCGCTCTGCCGGGGTCTATAAAATTAGCATGTGTGAGGGGGAGATAACTCAAACCAGAATCTCTCTTCGTGACAACAAATATGGTGTCCGACACACACAAGCGTTCGAGGTTTGCCAATCATTCAGAGGATGAAATACCCTACAAGCAATCTAAAACGAAAGCAAATTCAACAAAAGGCAATGAGGGAGCCGCTAGGGTGCTAATTACTAAGATAGTTGTGTATTGTGACTATTGTCTGAAATATTGCCGAAAAGCCAAAAGGTGTCAGGTAGGGGCTTTTTGAGTAGCTGTCAAGTTCAACAGGTTAGGCACAACAGCGCATATGGGTAATAATCCTGTATTTGGGTAACAGTTACCCATTTGAGTAACAATTTTATTACTGAGATGGGGAATAACGTGAGAAAAAACCCCCACATGCAGTTCTTTTAAACACCTGGAGCAAATAAGGGTGGCATTCTTTCAACATAATAATCCCTATATGCGCCGTTGTGCCCCACCTGTTAAATTCAAACTCACAAAATGACTTAAAATTTGGCAGAAAAACAGTTATTAAAGATTGTCAGGGTGACAAATTCGCTATCTCTGGGTTAGGAGGGGTCTAAGGGCTCATAGACCCCTTTTGTTTTCATAGACCGCTCGCCTATGGCTCGGGGTCTATAAAAACCAGACATGATCTATGAGCCCGTAGACCCTTCCTAACCCAGAAATAACTAATAATATCTCCATCCTATACAATACAAAGATAACAGAGTGTATGGCTGGCCTGTTATAGGAGGGAACAGCTGATGACCAAGGAGAAGAGTGCCAGTCTGGATGGCCTCTCCAAGAGTCCTGTTCGTCGACTCAAGCGGTCCAACACTATTGGCTCTCCTCGGGGGATGTTAAAGTCGTCCAAACTGAACATGGGTGAGGCTCGCGATGACGTCCACGTGTGTATCATGTGTCTACGCGCCATCATGAACCATCAGGTACTATACAAACGACAACTTACACCTTATTTCTGTTAAATACCCGAAGTGCTTTAGTAGTTTCAATTGTGTTTGGAGGAAGTATGAAATTAGATAATGAACAATTCAGTGATCATGAAATTAAATAATGAACAATTTAGTGATCATGAAATTAAAGAATGAACAATTCAGTGATCATGAAATTAAATAAGAAACAATTTAGTGATCATGAAATTAAATAATGAACAATTCAGTGATCATTAAATTAAATAAGGAACAATTCAGTGATCATGAAATTAAATAATGAACAATTCAGTGATCATTAAATTAAATAAGGAACAATTCAGTGATCATGAAATTAAATAATGAACAATTTAGTGATCATGAAATTAAATAATGAACAATTTAGTGATCATTAAATTAAATAAGGAACAATTCAGTGATCATGAAATTAAATAATGAACAATTTAGTGATCATGAAATTAAATAAGGAACAATTCAGTGATCATGAAATTAAATAATGAACAATTTAGTGATCATGAAATTAAATAAGGAACAATTCAGTGATCATGAAATTAAATAATGAACAATTTAGTGATCATGAAATTAAATAAGGAACAATTCAGTGATCATGAAATTAAATAATGAACAATTTAGTGATCATGAAATTAAATAAGGAACAATTCAGTGATCATGAAATTAAATAATGAACAATTTAGTGATCATGAAATTAAATAAGGAACAATTCAGTGATCATGAAATTAAATAATGAACAATTTAGTGATCATGAAATTAAATAATGAACAATTCAGTGATCATGAAATTAAATAAGGAACAATTTAGTGATCATGAAATTAAATAATGAACAATTTAGTGATCATTAAATTAAATAAGGAACAATTCAGTGATCATGAAATTAAATAATGAACAATTTAGTGATCATTAAATTAAATAAGGAACAATTCAGTGATCATGAAATTAAATAATGAACAATTTAGTGATCATTAAATTAAATAAGGAACAATTCAGTGATCATGAAATTAAATAATAAACAATTCAGTGATCATGAAATTCAATAAGAAACAATTTAGTGATCATTAAATTAAATAATGAAAAATTTAGTAATCATGAAATTAGATAAGGAACAATTTAGTGATCATGAAATTAAATAATGAACAATTTAGTGATCATGAAATTCAATAAGAAACAATTCAGTGATCATGAAATTCAATAAGAAACAATTCAGTGATCATGAAATTAAATAATGAAAAATTTAGTAATCATGAAATTAGATAAGGAACAATTTAGTGATCATGAAATTAAATAATGAACAATTTAGTGATCATGAAATTCAATAAGAAACAATTCAGTGATCATGAAATTCAATAAGAAACAATTCAGTGATCATGAAATTAAATAATGAAAAATTTAGTAATCATGAAATTAGATAAGGAACAATTTAGTGATCATGAAATTAAATAATGAACAATTTAGTGATCATGAAATACCTCCAAGAGGTGCTTACATTAGATTATCCAAAATGAATTAGTTAAAATTGGTCAAAACATCATAACTTACTTTCATTGTGTCGATATTCTGAAAACCAAATGATGTTTGACTCTAGTTTAATGCAAAAGGCACTAATATATGTTCTTTGCTTTAAGTTTACAGCAACTATTCCCAGAAAATTGTGTTCACTAGATTCTTTGAAATCTGGTCTACCTCCTGAATTGATTGCCTTTTTTTACATTCTGAAAGTGAAAAACATATGTTCTGCAATTTTGTGAAAACTAATTTGTTCATGAAATATGATTTTTGAAGTAAAATAGAATGATCTTACACCATTCTTTTCCCTTTACAGTATGGATTCAACCTGGTGATTGCCCATAAACATGCCATCAACTGTATAGCACTAAGTCTAAATCACCGAAGTCTCAGGTGTGTATTACAAAACCATCAACTTTATAGCTCTAAGTCTAAATCACCGAAGTCTCAGGTTTGTATTACAAAACCATTAACTGTATAGCTATAAGTCTAAATCACCGAAGTCTCAGGTGTGTATTACAAAACCATCAACTGTATAGCACTAAGTCTAAATCACCGAAGTCTCAGGTGTGTATTACAAAACCATCAACTGTATAGCACTATAAGTCTGAATCACCAAAGTTTCAGGTTCGTATAACTAGGTAATAAGTTGTTTAGGCAACATTTTGGACCCCCAAAACCTGTTCCATATGGTTGTCAGCTATTTAGCTATCAGTCTCAACCACTGAGTTCTCAGGTTAATAGGGTGACTGGGGTTTGACTTCCAAATCAGCGGTGGAAAGGTATGGGTCACCTGTCTGAACGCATGGGTTTTCTCCGGGTAATCCAGTTTCCCACATTAAGACTCCTAACACACTTCCATCTGGACCAAAAGAGTGATAGATATAAGTTAAAAAAAACTTGTTTCTCATATATGTTTTAAAAATAACTACATTGTATAGCTCTTGACTACTAAAGATAATGTGTTCACTGCCCTTATTTCTGATTGGTTGGTCATAAGTTGGAGTGCCTTTCTGTTACAGGACGAAGGCGCTGGTTTTAGAGCTACTAGCAGCAGTATGTCTGGTGAGCGGGGGACATGAGATCATATTGTCAGCATTTGACAATTTTAAGGAGGTAAGCATCCCAAGGTGTCCCACACAAGAAGTTATAATCAAGGGACCACACAGGCATCTGCTGTCATTTGTCCAGCAGAAGAGTCTGTTGCCCTAGATAGATTCAAGAAAATCAATTCTCGTAAATGTTCACATATTATCAATGCAATGTAATGATCAAAAATATTGACTGAAATCTCTCCTGTGTATTCTATTGTAGGTGTGCGGAGAGAGACACAGATTTGAAACACTCATGGATTATTTCAGGAATTTTGAAGAGTTTCACATTGATTTTATGGTAAGACTGCACCAATGATCTCACAAACCCACAGCAGATTCAATGGAATGTTATTGTTTGTATTTGTTCAAGAGTTATATATAAATTATGATATTTAAGTGGACCTTGCCTCATTTTGACAGAGATATATTTTTTTAATGTAACAATGTCAGTTCATTACACAAGACTGCCAAAGTGCCAAATGTAGATTGATATCAAGATTATTTTGTTCTGGACCCTTTTGGTGTAGATTGCTGTCACGCTTACTTCTCCCACACTTCACAGGTACATTTTCGTTTATGCTAGAAAAGATACACCTGTCTTTACCTACCTAGGGTAACACAGCTCCAATGTGCTATCCTGAAAACATCAACATTGCAACGGGAAACCATGATTGTGTCGTCTTCCTTGTCTCCAATTTCATGTGCTGTTGATAATTGCATTGTGCTCCGGTTCACCTTTACAGCTTATCTTTACAGTAGGAAAGTAAGGGAGAAAAGATAACCAACTTGAATCTTGTGTGATGTCGACCCAGAAATCCTAACCCTTGGGATAAGATTTTTTTGAAGTTTAGCACTTGACACAGACTCATGCTAACGTATAAAAACTTACTCTCATGTTGAGATTTTCTCATCTACATCACATAAGAGTGATAGATTATATTATCCAAGTCTGCATGTATTGTAAGGGAACATTGGCATATCTGGTTGAAACGGTTGAACCGGGTGAACCTGTAAAGAAAACGACAGGTACAGATCTGAACCGAAGCTGACCTCAGTAGTATTGGCACATGTAGATTGAGGGGATCCAGAAGTACCTGACCTAAACTAAAATGCTGACTATTGCCTGTTAGCGTTATTTCTTTCTAAAACAATGTCAAGCCACATGTAGATTTTAAGATACGTTATGTAATTCAGTGGACACATGAAAGTAGGGCATAATATTCTTGATACATTATTTTTTATTCTCCGAAACTGTGCATTTTTAACTTTGCTTATAGAACGGTCCAAGTGCGTTCGTTTATCGTGGAATATTTCTGCGCCACACGTACCGTTTCAACCGGGATACGCAAATGTAGCCTTTGTGTTTTGGTTTAACGCTGTGGTGTGTTAGATAACATTAGTAAGATTGACTGATGATGTTGATGTATTGACCTGTTTATGTATGTTACAGGTGGCTTGTATGCAGTTTGTAAATATTGTGGTTCATTCGGTCGAGAACATGAACTTTCGTGTCCACCTGCAGTACGAGTTCACGCAGATTGGTCTGGATGACTATCTCATGGTAAACAGACTTTTGGTTATATATATAAAGCCTTCATGTATAGAGTACCGTCAACTCCAAGTATATCATCTTTATTGGCATAATAATGAATTATCAAATATTTGTCATTCTCTCCAGATTTATTCCATATAGATAACATCTTTTGATGTTTTTACAGAATTTTTAAACATGATTAACATCATCAAATAGATACACACAAATACCCAACACAAATACCTATAAAGACAATTATAAAAAAATAGACAAATTATTATACTGAATTTGTTGAAACTGTTACAAATTCACATATCAATGAATAAGGCTGATGTGGTTTTGATTTTGAATTTTGGCATTGACAAAAAATATAGGATTTAAGGTATGAGTTTGATTATTTTCTGTGTTATAAATTACATGTTGTTATTATTTAGAAACTTCGACACACTGAGAGTGACCGGCTGTCGGTGCAAGTGCATGCCTACCTGGACAATATGATAGATGTTCAACAGCTGCTGGAGGATTCGGAGACCAAGACTGAGGCTCTGGAACGTGCCGAGGAACTAGAGGACGAACTTTCACATGTTAGTACCATACCACCTACTGTTGTACACATTTTTCATACCCCAGGAACATTTAATAGATCCCCATGTTAATTGTAACTTTAGAGAAAAAATCTAAAATTAGATTCCTATATATCTCACTTTTACCAGGACTGTTAATTGATGATAGAATAACTGGAAAGCTGCAATGTTTTCTTCTCTTAAACGAAATACAGAACTAAATCCTCTTCTTCACGTTATACACAATTTCATGGAATATTTCTATGATCTATATTTAATACTCATGCATGACAGTTTGGGGTTGCCTTTTGCAGCTGCAAAATGATATGTAAAATTCTTTGTGTATAAAGAAGGCTTATAACATGTCTGGCTAATTGTTTGGGTGTATGTAAAATTCATTGTATGTTAAGACGACTTATAACATGGCTGGGTTATTGTTTGTTGTGTATAAAGAAGATTTATAACATGGCTGGGTTATTGTTTCGTTGTGTATAAAGAAGACTTATAACAGGGCTGGGTTATTGTTTGGTTGTGTATAAAGAAGAATTATAACATGGCTGGGGTATTGTTTGTTGTGTATAAAGAAGGCTTATAACATGGCTGGGTTTTTGTTTGTTGTGTATAAAGTAGACTTATAACATGACTGGGTTATTGTTTTGGTGTATGTAAAATTCATTGTATGTTAAGAAGACTTATAACAAGGCTGGGTTATTGTTTGGTTGTGGATAAAGAAGACTTATAACATGGCTGTGTTATTGTTTGTTGTGTATAAAAAAGACTTATAACATGGCTGGGGTATTGTTTGTTGTGTATAAAAAAGACTTATAACATGGCTGGGTTTTTGTTTGTTGTGTATAAAGTAGACTTATAACATGACTGGGTTATTGTTTGGTTGTGGATAAAGAAGACTTATAACATGGCTGTGTTATTGTTTGTTGTGTATAAAAAAGACTTATAACATGGCTGGGGTATTGTTTGTTGTGTATAAAGAATACTTATACCGTGGCTGGGTTATTGTTTGTTGTATATAAAGAAGACTTATAACATGACTGGGTTATTGTTTGGGTGTGTATAAAGAAGACTTATAACGTGGCTGGGGTATTGTTTGGTTGTGTATAAAGAAGAATTATAACATGGCTGGGGTATTGTTTGTTGTGTATAAAGTAGACTTATAACATGACTGGGTTATTGTTTGGTTGTGTATAAAGAAGACTTATGACATGGCTGGGTTATTGTTTGGTTGTGTATAAAGAAGACTTATAACATGGCTGGGTTATTGTTTGGGTGTATGTAAAATTCTTTGTTTATAAAGATGACTTATAAAATTGTTTGGATGTATTTCAGGCACATGAAAGACTTCAGGAAGTAGAAGATGAAGCCATGTCCAAAACAGGTAAAACATCAATACACGGCCCTGGCTAGCTAGCTTTGTAAAGATTTGGTCATTTCCTTCTCTTATATTGCATTGTGTACATCAGTGTTGTCCGTACTTAGTGGACGTTTTAAACAAACACATGTTACTGGTGAACTGGTCGGTCAAAATGGCCGGTTTTGATGCCTGCTTGGTAAGAAGATAATTATTATTTGAATTAATGATTTTAGTCGTATGTAAAATAAAGTAAAATAAAGTAGTTTACAATGTTTGAATGATAAAGGATGTAATTGCTAGACACTTATGAATCCATTATGAATCCTTTTCTGCAATTGAAATATGGTTTGTGAAAACTTAACATTTGAAAATAAATAAATACTAGACAAGAAGTAACTTCTGAATCCAGATTTCTATAACTGTACTTTTTGTACTATATTTTGAGAAAGCAAACTTTCCTCTATTTGGAGATGGTAATTTAAACCTGATTTTTATCTGCTCTGAAAAGAATTTTTTTTTTGCTAAATATATTTAACCAAGAACAATGTGTTAAAGGCTAGGTCAGGCTAAAATAGAAAATTTTGAATAATTTTCTCCAGTTGAATTCATCAGTTTGTAGATGTGTGCATTAAGTTTCTCATATTCAAGTCATATCTAAAGTATAATTTGACACTACGAACAAAGATACAAATTTGTGGGTTATTTATCAAGTTCTAAAGTTGACAGTCAAATTGACAATTACTTATTTCGTTCGTACAATTTTAATAAGCATGTTTTCAAGAACCTTATCTGAAAAATGTCTTTTGTATTGTAGTGGAACTGGAGAAACAGTTATCAGATTCAAATCAAGATATTGAAGAGTTGCGAGATTATTTATCAAAACAGGAGATAGAAATGAACTCTTTACGACAAGTTGTTAATGAAAAGGACGAGGAGTCGAGGAAGAGGCAAAGTATACTAGAGGCTAAACTCCAGGAAATTGAGCAAATTAAACAGACTCTTCCGTCAGGTAGGTAGCTGATAAACTGACTCTTCCGTCAGATAGGTAGCTGAAGAATCTTACATTTGTCTGTAAATGTTGTCTGAAATATTCTTAATGCTTGGCAACTAGCTGAGGGAAACACATCTGCTTTATGTAGGTCTCAGAAATGTATTACTAAGTTCATCCAACTTTTAGTAAACTGTAAAGTTTCTGTTTGCTTCCCAATGATGAGTATACGAGTTAAAACAGGGCATTAGTTGTCTAATACTGTGCTCAATATCTTACGTTACAGGTGTAGGAGCTGCTGCTGCCAGTGCCAGTGTGCCCATGGCCAATTTCCCCCCTCCCCCAGCCCCTGCTGCACCCATGCCNCCAGCACCTCCAGCCCCAGGGCGAGGACCACCAGCTCCCCCACCCCCACCTGGACCTACTTCTGGACCAACTATGTCAGGTAAGCTCTGTTCCAACAGGACTCTGATTTGACGATATGTCACTAGACAGAGGAGTCTAGGTCAGCTAATGACCGATCAAGCATTTGATTGAAATGTCAAAAGATATTTAAATGGGGTCACATACTGTGAAATCACTATTTTTTGTGGAGTATTAATTTTGTTGATTTTGTGGGTAATCTTCATCCACGAAATCATAGGTCCACGAAGTAATTACAAGTTTGATGTTACGCAGTTCTCTGTTTGTGTGTGTACTCGTAATCCGTGAATTCATGTACACACGAAATGGTGTATTGTCGGGAAACCATGTAATTTGGGCCCCATGAAAATATCTGATTTCACAGTAATCAAATTAAATACTACATTGATCACTGCATTTGAATTATCGTCTGTAGAAAGTTTTGCTCGACCTGATATAATACTTGACGCGAAAACTTCCTATTCAGACTAAAGAAAAAGTCTTTATTGTGATTTAATGTGAAAGTGTCAGGTAAACTAAAAGATAATATGATTTTTTTGATTTTTTGATTTTGATTTTAATTTTAATTTTTTTTATTTTCAAAGTATTTTTCACATTACAATAACATATACATTTCATTATACATAATGAATTCCACTTTCACACATACTTGCATACTAATTTATGTTGCTCTTTTTGTAAGTGGTATTTTTTTTTGTATTGTTATATGAGAAAGGAAGGAAAAAAAGATAAAAGAAACAAGAAAACAAAGAAATAGAGGAAATAAACGATAGATAATAGACAGACAGACAGACAGACAGACAGACAGACAAGAGGAGAAGTACCAGTATCAAACAAACCAATTTAAAGGAGATAATATGTATTTGTTTTGTAGCAATGACAATAAAAAAGAAAATCCAAACCAAATACCGTTTGCCAATCCTCAACTGGACGCCCCTCAAACCTCAGCAAGTCAAAGGCACAGTTTTCGCAGACCTGGATGATGAAAAGCTTTACCATGTAAGATCACTGTAATTTATGAGAAATAAGTGAGAATGGGTTGTCTACAAGAGATGTGTTAAAAATCCTGTACAATCTCAGAAAATGTGTTAAAAATCCAGTACAATCTCAGAAAATGTGTTAAAAATCCAGCACAATCTCAGAAAACGTATCAGTACAATCTCAGAAAATGTATTAAAAAGTAACAGTACAATCTCAGAAAATGTATTACAAATAACAGTTCAATCTCAGAAAATGTGTTAAAAATTCAGTACAATCTCAGAAAATGTATCAGTACAATCTCAGAAAATGTGTTAAAAATAACAGTACAATCCAGTCCATCCTCACACGTACAAAAAAAATGATGAAATCACCATCCAATCTCACAAGTATAGAAATCTGTGAAAAAGAAAGAAAAAAGAAAATCCAGGCTTTTCTTACAAGTAAAGAAGATATGTTTTAGTCGATATATTAAGAAAAGATTGTCCACACCTGTTTTGATTTTTGATTGACAGGTGATAGATTTTAATGAGTTTGAGGAGATGTTCCGCCTGAGTACAGGACCATTGAGAGGCGACGATGATAGCACACCAAAGTTACTCAAGAAACTACGCAAACCTGAGAGCGTCAGTCTGTTAGAACCAAACAGACTACGCAATGTGGGTAAGTTACACAATAAACAGACTACGCAATGTGGGTAAGTTACACAATAAACAGACTACGCAATGTGGGTAAGTTACACAATAAACAGACTACGCAATGTGGGTAAGTTACACAATAAACAGACTACGCAATGTGGGTAAGTTACACAATAAACAGACTACGCAATGTGGGTAAGTTACACAATAAACAGACTACGCAATGTGGGTAAGTTACACAATAAACAGACTACGCAATGTGGGTAAGTTACACAATAAACAGACTACGCAATGTGGGTAAGTTACACAATAAACAGACTACGCAATGTGGGTAAGTTACACAATAAACAGACTACGCAATGTGGGTAAGTTACACAATAAACAGACTACGCAATGTGGGTAAGTTACACAATAAACAGACTACGCAATGTGGGTAAGTTACACAATAAACAGACTACGCAATGTGGGTAAGTTACACAATAAACAGACTACGCAATGTGGGTAAGTTACACAATAAACAGACTACGCAATGTGGGTAAGTTACACAATAAACAGACTACGCAATGTGGGTAAGTTACACAATAAACAGACTACGCAATGTGGGTAAGTTACACAATAAACAGACTACGCAATGTGGGTAAGTTACACAATAAACAGACTACGCAATGTGGGTAAGTTACACAATAAACAGACTACGCAATGTGGGTAAGTTACACAATAAACAGACTACGCAATGTGGGTAAGTTACACAATAAACAGACTACGCAATGTGGGTAAGTTACACAATAAACAGACTACGCAATGTGGGTAAGTTACACAATAAACAGACTACGCAATGTGGGTAAGTTACACAATAAACAGACTACGCAATGTGGGTAAGTTACACAATAAACAGACTACGCAATGTGGGTAAGTTACACAATAAACAGACTACGCAATGTGGGTAAGTTACACAATAAACAGACTACGCAATGTGGGTAAGTTACACAATAAACAGACTACGCAATGTGGGTAAGTTACACAATAAACAGACTACGCAATGTGGGTAAGTTACACAATAAACAGACTACGCAATGTGGGTAAGTTACACAATAAACAGACTACGCAATGTGGGTAAGTTACACAATAAACAGACTACGCAATGTGGGTAAGTTACACAATAAACAGACTACGCAATGTGGGTAAGTTACACAATAAACAGACTACGCAATGTGGGTAAGTTACACAATAAACAGACTACGCAATGTGGGTAAGTTACACAATAAACAGACTACGCAATGTGGGTAAGTTACACAATAAACAGACTACGCAATGTGGGTAAGTTACACAATAAACAGACTACGCAATGTGGGTAAGTTACACAATAAACAGACTACGCAATGTGGGTAAGTTACACAATAAACAGACTACGCAATGTGGGTAAGTTACACAATAAACAGACTACGCAATGTGGGTAAGTTACACAATAAACAGACTACGCAATGTGGGTAAGTTACACAATAAACAGACTACGCAATGTGGGTAAGTTACACAATAAACAGACTACGCAATGTGGGTAAGTTACACAATAAACAGACTACGCAATGTGGGTAAGTTACACAATAAACAGACTACGCAATGTGGGTAAGTTACACAATAAACAGACTACGCAATGTGGGTAAGTTACACAATAAACAGACTACGCAATGTGGGTAAGTTACACAATAAACAGACTACGCAATGTGGGTAAGTTACACAATAAACAGACTACGCAATGTGGGTAAGTTACACAATAAACAGACTACGCAATGTGGGTAAGTTACACAATAAACAGACTACGCAATGTGGGTAAGTTACACAATAAACAGACTACGCAATGTGGGTAAGTTACACAATAAACAGACTACGCAATGTGGGTAAGTTACACAATAAACAGACTACGCAATGTGGGTAAGTTACACAATAAACAGACTACGCAATGTGGGTAAGTTACACAATAAACAGACTACGCAATGTGGGTAAGTTACACAATAAACAGACTACGCAATGTGGGTAAGTTACACAATAAACAGACTACGCAATGTGGGTAAGTTACACAATAAACAGACTACGCAATGTGGGTAAGTTACACAATAAACAGACTACGCAATGTGGGTAAGTTACACAATAAACAGACTACGCAATGTGGGTAAGTTACACAATAAACAGACTACGCAATGTGGGTAAGTTACACAATAAACAGACTACGCAATGTGGGTAAGTTACACAATAAACAGACTACGCAATGTGGGTAAGTTACACAATAAACAGACTACGCAATGTGGGTAAGTTACACAATAAACAGACTACGCAATGTGGGTAAGTTACACAATAAACAGACTACGCAATGTGGGTAAGTTACACAATAAACAGACTACGCAATGTGGGTAAGTTACACAATAAACAGACTACGCAATGTGGGTAAGTTACACAATAAACAGACTACGCAATGTGGGTAAGTTACACAATAAACAGACTACGCAATGTGGGTAAGTTACACAATAAACAGACTACGCAATGTGGGTAAGTTACACAATAAACAGACTACGCAATGTGGGTAAGTTACACAATAAACAGACTACGCAATGTGGGTAAGTTACACAATAAACAGACTACGCAATGTGGGTAAGTTACACAATAAACAGACTACGCAATGTGGGTAAGTTACACAATAAACAGACTACGCAATGTGGGTAAGTTACACAATAAACAGACTACGCAATGTGGGTAAGTTACACAATAAACAGACTACGCAATGTGGGTAAGTTACACAATAAACAGACTACGCAATGTGGGTAAGTTACACAATAAACAGACTACGCAATGTGGGTAAGTTACACAATAAACAGACTACGCAATGTGGGTAAGTTACACAATAAACAGACTACGCAATGTGGGTAAGTTACACAATAAACAGACTACGCAATGTGGGTAAGTTACACAATAAACAGACTACGCAATGTGGGTAAGTTACACAATAAACAGACTACGCAATGTGGGTAAGTTACACAATAAACAGACTACGCAATGTGGGTAAGTTACACAATAAACAGACTACGCAATGTGGGTAAGTTACACAATAAACAGACTACGCAATGTGGGTAAGTTACACAATAAACAGACTACGCAATGTGGGTAAGTTACACAATAAACAGACTACGCAATGTGGGTAAGTTACACAATAAACAGACTACGCAATGTGGGTAAGTTACACAATAAACAGACTACGCAATGTGGGTAAGTTACACAATAAACAGACTACGCAATGTGGGTAAGTTACACAATAAACAGACTACGCAATGTGGGTAAGTTACACAATAAACAGACTACGCAATGTGGGTAAGTTACACAATAAACAGACTACGCAATGTGGGTAAGTTACACAATAAACAGACTACGCAATGTGGGTAAGTTACACAATAAACAGACTACGCAATGTGGGTAAGTTACACAATAAACAGACTACGCAATGTGGGTAAGTTACACAATAAACAGACTACGCAATGTGGGTAAGTTACACAATAAACAGACTACGCAATGTGGGTAAGTTACACAATAAACAGACTACGCAATGTGGGTAAGTTACACAATAAACAGACTACGCAATGTGGGTAAGTTACACAATAAACAGACTACGCAATGTGGGTAAGTTACACAATAAACAGACTACGCAATGTGGGTAAGTTACACAATAAACAGACTACGCAATGTGGGTAAGTTACACAATAAACAGACTACGCAATGTGGGTAAGTTACACAATAAACAGACTACGCAATGTGGGTAAGTTACACAATAAACAGACTACGCAATGTGGGTAAGTTACACAATAAACAGACTATGCAATGTGGGTAAGTTACACAATAAACAGACTATGTGGGTAAGTTACACAATAAACAGGCTGTGTGGGTAAGTTACACAATAAACAGGCTGTGTGGGTAAGTTACACAATAAACAGGCTGTGTGGGTAAGTTACACAATAAACAGGCTGTGTGGGTAAGTTACACAATAAACAGGCTGTGTGGGTAAGTTACACAATAAACAGGCTGTGTGGGTAAGTTACACAATAAACAGGCTGTGTGGGTAAGTTACACAATAAACAGGCTGTGTGGGTAAGTTACACAATAAACAGGCTGTGTGGGTAAGTTACACAATAAACAGGCTGTGTGGGTAAGTTACACAATAAACAGGCTGTGTGGGTAAGTTACACAATAAACAGGCTGTGTGGGTAAGTTACACAATAAACAGGCTGTGTGGGTAAGTTACACAATAAACAGGCTGTGTGGGTATATAAGTTTCAGAATCAAATGTGGTTTATTCACAGATTTAAAACAATTTATTTTCAAAAACATATTCAATAGAAACAAATCTGAATAATATCGTATAACTAAACTATTACCCATACAAGATTTTAAATTCTTGATTTAGAGTATTTTTTTGTCTTTCAAAGCCATCACGAGGAGGAAGATAGAAATGACGAACGAAGAGGTGATGAAATCAATCAATAGGTATGTACAGTCTCAATCTCTCAGTCGAATCACCCATGGATGTTTCGTAATAAAATAGGTGTATGTTGTGTATGTTTAGGTTATCTTTTCTGAATTGAATAAAGCCACACATATTTTAAATATCTAAACTTGATGGAATCAAGCACATAGGTTTTAGATTATCTTACATTAGTGGAATCAAGCACACAGGCTAAAGATTATCTTAATATTGGAATCTAAATTAATTGAACCACATAGAATCAACCACACAGGTTATAGAATATTATAGTTGAACAGTTTTATTTACCTCATGAAATTATTTTAATGTTTGACTTAAATTTTACAAGGACTATTAATTTTGTAAGCGCGAGGCTGTTAATTTGTGTGAAGCCAACATGAACAACTGTGCTATGTTTTTGCAGCCTTGACCTGAAACGACTGTCTCTGGACATGGTGGACATCCTACTGACCATTATGCCCAATGACCAAGAGGTCAGTATCCACTTCCCTATGTGTGTTGGAAGTAAGATCTAAATACTGACAGACATATCAGACTGATCACCTGATAGATTACCTGTTCTGTGAGGAAAGTCTACAGTGATGCTTTGATTTAACTGATTCTAATTTGCATATTGATGAACTAATATGTATACTACCATTTTGTCACAAAGTGATACATGATATTTTCATTTAAGGATTGAATCCTGTTGTGTTGAGGTTTATAGGGTATAAACCTGAATAAGTCTTGAGATGAATTTAATGAACTGCGAAATCCTTATATTTACATACAGTTGAATTTTGATATTTTTTATAATTTCTTAAATATTGGACTTGTGCAAGTCTATTCCGCAGAAGGTGCCAATGTGACGTCGTCACTCACTGTAAGACGTCATTCTGATCAGATAAACAGCTCTTCTGTATTAATTACAATGTTAAAATAACATGGCACATAAATACATGTTTATTCAATCTGAAACCTTTGAAAAGAGAAATTGAAAACAGTGTATAAAAGGGATTATTTCTGACATTAATTTGCTGACGTATTCATATCTAACCTTAGATATGGTGTGGACAACTGGGCCCGTATTTATGAAACCGTTCTCATGCTCAAGCATAGATTCTGTGCTCAACCTAATTTTCTGGTAACACGCATAAGTCATGCGAAAGGTTAAAATTGTTATTTGTAACATTTAAAACGGAATTCAGCTGGAGTTCTCACCAAAATTCTTTCAAATCATTAACCAAATATTAAGTATCAATTTATTTATCACCGGAACAAGAAATTGGGCTTGAGCACGGAATCAGAGTTTGAGCATGAGAATGGTTTCATGAATACAGGCCCTGTAGTCATATAACCTTGCCTGTTGTAAAACAGTAAACCACAAAACAATATGCAATAATATTGCTACATTTTTATGAAATTTTTTAAAAGTTAATTTCCTTGAGAACTGTTCTGGTATTGGCAAAATCCCATTTTTTTTTTTTTAATAATGTTCAAAACATTTGTAGTTTGTATCTGCTATCAATTTTCTTGTGTTTTAGGTCAAAGCATACAAACAATACGAGAGAGATCGCAAACCTAAGGAGCGCCTCACAGACGAGGACAGGTTCATGTGTATGGTATGTTGTGTTAATTACCCACTAGGTTTGTATTGATACACTAGATCAATTTGAAATTTTACTTAATGAAAATTGACCTTTGTGGTAGGTTTTGGAAAGGATTCCATTCCATAAGAATACACCCAGCACATCTCTTGGCATGCCTATGTGCATCAGTCTGATTAAAAGTTTTCAATCATAAGTATCAAATTAATTGATTTATATATGCATTTCTTTCTCTCAAATATAACACATTCTGAACTTATAAAAACAGAGCTGCTAGTCTAATTGAACTTGCCATTTGATTCATTAACTCATTCCCCCCTGACATTTCATAATGAACTATTCCAACCTTTGTATTGAAAGGGTTCAAATGTGTCTTCAGGGGTGAATGAGTTCAGAGGTATATCATCTTGATGCTACATTGTATGGGATCTACTTATGTTAGATCTGTTACAGAAATAATGTTTAAAAACTACAATATTAACTATGTGCTCTGGCAGCTGGTAACTGTCAGCTCTGCACTTGAACTTTATGGTCACCATCAAGTCAGATGCATTCTTTGTGATTTCAGTTCTGTAAAGTAGAAAGGCTGTCACAGAAGCTGAACATCATGAGTTTCATTGGTAACTTCCAGGACAGTATACACCACCTCACACCTGTAAGTACCATCATAGCTAATTAATAACATTCGTGTGGCCTGTCACTGTCTAAGAGGTAGGGTTGGACCGTTTATAAATGTAGCTATTTCGGGTATAAATCCTGACGAACCTGCAAATGTTTATGCAGGCCTTGCAAGGCTTTGTCAAGGCTCACCTGAAAGCAGCAACAGATTACTAGGTCCGACTTTATTTAATAAACGAACAACTGTGGTCCGAACAGTTTTGCGGTTTAAAAGAAAATGGCCCTAGAATGTTCCTTCGGGTTGTAGCTTATCTACTTATTTGTCATGTAGTAGATACCCTTTTAGAACTTTGCAGAAAATTCTGTGTGATCTTTTGTGTTTCTGCATGTTGAAGGCTTTGATGCAATGCTGCCGTTATATATATGACCTTTGCCCTAGAACCCACACGTTGTAGTATCCATGACAATGACATTTGTCCTAGACCACACACATTGTAGTATCCATGACAATGACCTTTGCCCTAGACCCCACACGTTGTAGTATCCATGACCTTTGCCCTAGACCCCACACGTTGTAGTATCCATAACAATGACCTTTGCCCTAGACCTCACATGTAGTATCCATGAAAATGACCTTTGCGCTAGACCACACACGTTGTAGTATCCATGGCAATGACCTTTGCCCAAGACCACACACATTGTAGTATCCAGGACAATGACCTTTGCCCTAGACCCCACACGTTGTAGTATCCATTACAATGACCTTTGCCCTAGACCACACACGTTTTAGTATCCATAACAATGACCTTTGCCCAAGACCTCACATGTTGTAGTATCCATGACAATGACCGTTGCCCTAGACCACACACATTGTAGATGACAATGACCTTTGCCCTTGACCACACATGTTGTAGTATACATGACAATGCCCTTTGCCCTAGACCACACACATTGTAGTATCCATGACAGTGACCTTTGCCCTAGACCACACACGTTTTAGTATCCATAACAATGACCTTTGCCCTAGACCCCACACGTTGTAGTATCCATTACAATGACCTTTGCCCAAGACTCCACACGTAGTATCCATGACAATGACATTTGTCCTAGACCACACATATTGTAGTATCCATGACAATGACCTTTGTCCTAGACCACACATGTTGTAGTATACATGACAGTGACCTTTGCCCTAGAGCACACATGTTGTAGTATACATGACAATCACCTTTGCCCTAGACCACACATGTTGTTGTATCCATGACAATGACCTTTGCCCTAGGCCACACACGTTGTAGTATCCATGACAATGACATTTGCCCTAGACCACACATGTTGTAGTGTTGTAGTATCCATAACAATGACCTTTGCCTTAGACCTCACATGTTGTAGTATCCATGACAATGACCGTTGCCCTAGGCCATACACGTTGTAGTATCCATGACAATGACCTTTGTCCTAGACCACACATGTTGTAGTATACATGACAATGCCCTTTGCCCTAGACCACACATGTTGTAGTATACATGACACTGACCTTTGCCCTAGACCACACATGTTGAAGTATACATGACAATGACCTTTGCCCTTGACCACACATGTTGGAGTATCCATGACAGTGATATTTGCTCTAGACAACACATGTTGTAGTATACATGACAATGCCCTTTGCCCTAGACCACACATGTTGTAGTACCCATGACAGTGATATTTGCCCTAGACCACACATGTTGTAGTATCCATGACAGTGATATTTGTCCTAGACCACACATGTTGTAGTATCCAAGACAGTGATATTTGCCCTAGACCACACATGTTGTAGTGTTGTAGTATCCATAACAATGACCTTTGCCCAAGACCTCACATGTTGTAGTATCCATGACAATGACCTTTCCCCTAGACCGCACACGGTGTAGTATCCATGACATTGACCTTTGCCCTAGACCACACACATTGTAGTATCCTTGACAATGACCTTTGCCCTAGACCCCACGCGTTGTAGTATCCATGACAATGACCTTTGTCCTAGACCACACATGTTGTAGTATCCATGGCAGTGATATTTGCCCTAGACCACACATGTTGTAGTATACATGACACTGACCTTTGCCCTAGACCACACATGTTGAAGTATACATGACAATGACCTTTGCCCTTGACCACACATGTTGTAGTATCCATGACAGTGACATTTGTCCTAGACCACACACATTGTAGTATCCATGACAATGACCTTTGCTCTAGACCACACACGTTGTAGTATCCATGGCAATGACCTTTGCCCAAGACCACACACATTGTAGTATCCATGACAATGACCGTTGCCCTAGGCCACACACGTTGTAGTATCCATGACAATGACCGTTGCCCTAGGCCACATACGTTGTAGTATCCATGACAATGACCTTTCCCCTAGACCGCACACGGTGTAGTATCCATGACATTGACCTTTGCCCTAGACCACCCAGATTGTAGTATCCATGACAATGACCGTTGCCCTAGGCCACATACGTTGTAGTATCCATGACAATGACCTTTGTCCTAGACCACACATGTTGTAGTATCCATGGCAGTGATATTTGCCCTAGACCACACATGTTGTAGTGTTGTAGTATCCATAACAATGACCTTTGCCCTAGACCTCCCACGTTGTAGTATCCATGACAATGACCTTTGCCCTAGACCACACATGTTGTAGTATCCATGACAATGACCGTTGCCCTAGGCCACACACGTTGTAGTATCCATGACAATGACCTTTGCCCTAGACCTTTGCCCTTGACCACACATGTTGTAGTATCCATGACAGTGATATTTGCTCTAGACCACACATGTTGTAGTATACATGACAATGACCTTTGCCCTTGACCACACATGTTGTAGTATCCATGACAGTGATATTTGCTCTAGACCACACATGTTGTAGTATACATGACAATGACCTTTGCCCTAGACCACACATGTTGTAGTATCCATGACAATGACCTTTGACCAAGACCACACATAATAAAGTATCCATGACAGTGACCTTTGCCCTAGACCACACACGTAGTATCCATGACAATGACCTTTGCCCTAGACCACACATGTAGTATCCATGACAATGACCTTTCCCCTAGACCACACATGTTGTAGTATCCATGACAGTGATATTTGCCTTCTTGTTTTACAGCAAGTACATGCTGTGATAGCAGCCTCCATGTCTTTAAGGAATTCACAGAAAGTCAAGAAAATGTTGGAGGTATGTTTGTAATATCTGTCTATAGGTTTTTGTGGAAGCAACATGCTCTAGGATTGTTACAGTAAGTACAATAAAACATGGGTAAAACATACCCATGTGACCACCTATTTTAAGAGACCACTGTTGAATTTACCTACCGTAAATTTGTGGGTATAGTGCGCACTCGCGTATAGTGCACAGGTACCTTTTTGGGGTAAGATTTGAATGAAAATTGAAAAAAAAAATGGAAAAGAAAAACAAAATTCCTGAAAATAACCGGTATCAACTGGAAAAGTAGCATCAAAGGTAGCTTGGGGTTTATTTATTGGAGTGAACATACCCATGAAGGTCTTCCTCTGTAACGCTTGGAACGAGTGGATGATTGACATATCATAGAGATTTTATAGTGAACTGAACCTGTATTAAGAGGCCAACCGTGTTAAGGGACCATGTTTTGTCTTCATGAGGCTGGTCTTTTACAGGTTGGGCCCCGCCCTAAAATGGGGGGGGGGGGGGGGGGGCATATAGTGTTGCCCATGTCCGTTCCGTCCCATCCCATCCATGATTAGGGGCATTGATGTCTTACAGACAGTTGTATTAATGTTTCTTAAACCTGGATGACTACTTTGTATGTTTTGCCTTGCAGGTGATTCTGGCGATTGGTAACTACATGAATAGTTCTAAGAGGGGAGCAGTGTACGGCTTCAAACTCCAGAGCCTGGACATGGTCAGTATATATTGTCGTTCCTATCCATCTCAACCTTCTCTCATCAGCAAGTCTGACATACGGGATGCCATAACTTGTAGCATTCATGTTTTAATAAAAAGAAATAGGACTACATCGTTATATATTTACATCTCTCCCATATTCAGCATAGTAAACTCTTACTGCGTATAAATTAGCGTATACGCAATGAAAAAAAGGCTCGGCGGGTTGATACCTGTTTCAAATATGGTGCCATTCTTGCATCAGCGAGATGACTGTTTGATGATAGCCATTGTTTGGTTCCTTCAACATCTAGAAACATGGAACATTTTCGGGATCCATTATGTCTGATTATACAACAAAGAGATGCTGGAAAAGTTTTTATTCCATGGATGCTTATTCAAAATTCTTTGATGGTAAACAATGGCAGCTTCCTTTGGCGACGTTCGACCGCATCACTGTAAGAGCAGTGTGTCAATGCGTGTCGTAATGACCGTTATAAATGAATAAAAATGTTCAAACTGCTATTGATATTACTTTATAAAAAATCAAAAAGCATTGAAAAGAAGCAAATTAGTGCTGTTCACTGCATATTTTCTAAATTTACCAATATATCGTTGTAGATAATGATTCACTGGAACTATATTATCCTAGCAACCACGGCTACCGTAGTTACCATCGTAGCAGCCCGCTTCTTGACTGTTTTTTTCTTGTTATATCATTTGAATGTTATTTATGATGTAAATATAAGTTTTGACCTTCATTTGATGGTGTCAACGGTAATTTGAATGCTGAACTTTTTTTTATATACTTTTAGATATATATATACAATGTAGATATTAATTTGGAATGATCTTGACCCAGGCTGAATTTTCTGCAAACATTTCTGATTATTTAGTACCAGTTTGGTAACAGTTTTGTTGAATGAAGACAACAGTATTTGTGAGTAGTTTTGAAACCCTTTGTACTGTGTTAAGATTGCAAGTTTTTCTGACAGAGCCAGAAATGACCAGTTTCCCTCAGACTAACATTGATGTTTTAATTCCAGCTAATGGATACAAAGTCAGCGGACAAGAAGACCACACTTGTCCACTACCTGGCTCAAACAGTCAATGAAAAGTTCATGGACATCGTAAACTTTGAATCAGAGCTGCGCTTCTTGGAGAAAGCTGCTGTTGGTATGTATTAGTGGAGGTATCAATGGGTGTTCTGTTATATATTGAACAAAAATTTGTATTAAATTCTGATCAAATGTTTACACGGAATGTAAGTCTTGTCAATTAAACCTCAGACACAATCTTGAACACATCAAATAAATCAAGCCATTTTTTACTAGCTACAATGTGAAGACTCGTGTAGTGTTGTATAATGTTTCTGTGATGTGACCGGTGTAGTGTTGTATATTGTCTGTGATGTGATTGAGGAATTTTTAACCTTTCACAGGCAGGCTGGGTCTTCTGAAAAATGATATAACAAGGAAATGCTTAACAGCAGTGGTGTGTTTGACTTTGTAGTATCACTGGAGAATATTCTCACCGACGTGCATGATTTGGAAAAGGGGATGGAATCTACCAAGCGTGAATTCGATGCACGGAAACATGCCCGAGACCAACCACCTATTCTAAAAGATTTCTTACAAAACTCGGAAGAAAAGCTTAAAAAATTGCAGGGTGATGTTAAAACCGCTCAGGTATGTAAAATAGGTATTGGTTATCTCCCGCTCAAACAGTTGGCGGGGGATATTAGAAATGGGGTCTGCCAGTGTGTGCGAACAGTTGGCGGGGGATACTAGAAATGGGGTCTGCCGGTGTGTGCGTGCGTGCGTGCGTCCATCCGTCCATGCACCTGGTTAAGAAGAATTGCTCTCATCTATATCTTGCTTACTACAAATGCTATATTGATTATGCTTGTATCAATTGTGTATCGAGGGTTGCTCCACTGAATGCATATTGCGGATGCTGATTTTGAGCTTTATTTTACGCTTAATGTTTTTAATGAATTTTGCATTGCAAGCGGGGGATATCGATGACAGCGTCTTCTTGTTCAGTTCATGCAGAAAATGAGAAAGAAAATACGCATGTAGAGGAATTGCTGTATTGCAATACCTTAAGCAGGATTATTTTAACAAAAACATATTCATTTGAAAACAATTTAATCAAACTTTCAGCTTAACTTGCCCTATGGAAAGTGAACTTATGGCAAAGAGTTCTTTGTTTGTTATCGACTTGTTTTCTAAAACACTGGTGGGGAATGGCAGAAGTAAATCTAATTTGGCATTGATCATCTGTAGGACAAGGAGATTTGGTGTTGTAGAAACTAATAGAGAAGAGTGTGACTTCGGAGTTACAAATTCCAAGTTGGTGGAAGTATTTCAACTTGGTTAAGTTCAAAGAAGAAAAGCAACAGGTGTCGGAATCTGCAGGTCAAATGTACCTCTTGTTTTTAGTGTGATAGAGCACCATTGCTGTTAAATAAATACTTTACTCGAAATAAAAGCAGTTACATTTGCTTCAATAAAAAAGCATTGTTTCTAATCCATTTATTAAGTTGATGTGATATGTACACCATTTTATCATAGAAATGAGTATTAGGTTTACACATATGAAAGTAATTAATGTTGCATGTGTACAACAAATATATCTCAATGTTCCAGGATTCATACAAGAGAGTGGTGGAGTTTTTCGGAGAGAACCCTCGTACGGTGTCCCCACAAACTTTCTTCTCACAGTTTGTAAGATTTGTCGGTGCTTTCAAGGTAAGTCACTGCCAAAGATTAATAGAATCTTCCCCCTACCTTAAGGGTGTGACAGAGAAATCTCCAACCCGAGGGTAGATGTTTTTTGGTTGTCTAACCCGAGGCTCTGCCAAGCGTTAGACAACCAAACAAATCACCCTGACGGTTGGAGATTTCACTGTTACACCCCCAATGTAAGGGATGATTATTTTTCTCCCATCCTATTATTTCAGTCACAGCTCCACCGACAGTAGTCTACCATGTTTGTAAACAAAAAAACATGTTGGGTATGCATATCGTCATTCTCTTTTGATGACGTCACAATTACCGATGACACATTCTAATGACGTCACAATTGAACACGTGCTAATCGGCACGAGGCTATATCCCCCTAGGGGGTGACAAGCTGATCTTTCCCGGGTAAAACAGGAGACACACCTGTGAAGGCTGGGAGAAAAAAGTTTAAGTTGCCAAGAAATCTTGTCTTGAAATGTGTAAGAGGAAAGGTGTTTATGTTGGTGATATCAGGGCTGTTTTCGTTTATCGCTGTCCAAAAGGTTGAACCGGTCGGATAAGAGTTGTTCGTTTATGAAATAAGGTCGAGCGCATAATTGTCTGATGCTGCTTTCAGGCGAGCCTTGACCAAGCCTTGCAAGGCCTGCATAAACTTGTGCAGGTCCGTCAGGATTTATACCTGAAAATATTACATTTAAAAACGGACGTACCGGTTGTTCTGCATATTAACGAACAGGCCCCTGGTCTTCATATTTATAATAAGAATGCTAAATATATACTGATTTACATTGTGAAATATGAGATACATATGGGAAATGTATATCTGATGATAGTGTGTTCTCTCGCACAAGACAAATATATCTACATTTTTCCCGGAATGGGATTTCTCATGTCACACCCTAGGGAAAAGCAAGCTACACATTGTGATCCAAAACAGTGTTATTAAGGCTTCACAGTGAAAACAGTTTGGATGACTTCACGTTTTATTATCAAAAAACTCAACCATCAAGGTATTATCCAAATAAAGCTCTTCATGCTGGACATGTAGGAATCTTATCAGTGGGGTTTACATTTTTTGTCTCATCCACTGGGTAAAGAGAGATTAACAATCTGAGCAGAGAGATGTGTGGCTGATATCGTTATTTTCTCTGCTGTTCACAGCAAGCAATGACTGACCTCGAAAAGAAGCGAAGGATGGAGTCTGCTGCCATGGAGGAGGTCATGCCCAGTTCCCAAGGACGCAAGAACAAGAAAGTCACAGCGGTCAGTATAGGTCAAGGTCAAATTACATCAGAGTCGCACACTAGTATAGGTCATGGTCAGTGACCTGTGAAGGTCTAGGTCATACAGACTAGCAGGGTAACAAGGTAAAATATGCTATAAGGGGTTAAGTTGATCTCATAAAAAGATATTCTAGATCAGTGTATGGTAACACCACTGAATGAGGTAATGTATATCCATATAGGTCACTGTCACAAATATAAGCTTACATGTCCTTCGTAAAAGTGCAGTTGATAATAGCTTCCACTGTTAAACCACATTTTCCATGTTAAATGTTCACACAAGGAATTACTGGTTCTGCTTACTGCATATTTAATATCATTCACTCTGTAATGAAGGTCGATAAAGGTAAAAAGAAAATTGGGGAAATCATTTCCCATTTTACTGAATATAGCAGTCCGAGTTAACAATTCTCCAATATTTCTGAAAGGACGTATTTCTCTGACTTGTTATGTAAATTGTATTGCCGTTACAGGATTCAGTGTTTCTGGCCTTTTCCAGGCAGTTCCCCAAATAGCGGGGTTGTAAGTGTTGTCTATCCCTGAGTTTTCCTGACAGATCCTCAAGTCATCCTTTTGATATGAACTCTCTTACCCAGATTGCTTTTGGCAGAGACAAAATTCCAGACCTGTTTCTATAAACTGTATTGTTTCAACATTTTGTTAATGGTCAAACTCCTATTTGGAACCCAAACCCTATTAAGTCTATGTCCCTCATGACATGGATTGCCTGACAAATCCCATCCAGTCAGAAATGAAAATTGTAAGCCACTTAATACATTTCCATAGCAAAGATTCAAACCCATGTTGTAGCCTTTTTGCCCACAAGCCCATTTTCTTCTCCGTCCTTTGTTCTCTTTCCAGTAAACCTCTCTAAAGGTGATACTTCTCTGTCTAAGTGTTTCTGACGAAACAGTCTTGACCTTAAAAAAAATTGAATTTGTTACTAAGAAAATGAAAGCAAGTGTACTCTGTCTTAGGTGGCCATTATCTAAAGCAACTCTTTACAGATTGATATGTAAAATTATGAAGAACACAGTTACCCTGATTGTTTTAAGTCCCCACCAGAATCACTAGAGGGGCTTGTGATTTGCACTCTGGTTGTTTATAAGCCTGTCCATGTGTCACTTTGACCCCAGTGGTGACTGGAGTTGATGATTCACTCTTTGTAAGAAATTCACCAAGACCCCAGTTGCGAATTTTCTGTGTACAGGTTTGACAAAGATCGGAGCTTGATAACTCACTGTATTAATGTTTCGCAAAGACAATAGTTGATGAATCACTCTTTGTAAGCATTCCATTAAGACCACAGTTGTGATGGTTGTAGGAACATTCAACAAAGATCTGACCTTAGTTGATGACTTTCTGTCTTTGTTTCAGGAGGCTGTGGTGTCTGAACTGAAGACAAGAAACAAACAGATCAAGGAGAAGAAGCTGTTGGGCAAGGATGAGGTTTACCACGGGGCTCTCGAGGACATCCTACTGGGTAGGTAGAATAGATCCTTTATAAAGTAGAGTTGAACTGTTAAAAGCTAGGGTTTAACCACACTTACTGACTCTCTATGACTTTTAAATGTTAATGGGCTTACAGCAGACACCTTTAAACTGATCCTGCTTCTTATGTACAGCTCAAAGATAGTTATGCCATGTTAACTCATTCACCCCTGAAGACACATTTGAACTCTCCCAAATCAAAGGTCGGAATAGTTCATTATGAAATTTCAGGGCTGAATGAGTTAATGAGATAGGAAAGATTATCAGACTACATTCATGCACTACTACACAAGTCATTACAGAGCTGTTACTTTTCCTGGATATTTAAGATGAATTATATATTTTGTAATTTGGTTCTTGTAGATCTGAAGAATGAGCCATATCGCCGTGCAGATGGTGTGAGGAGAAGTCAGCGACGTCGTGTTGAAGAGGCACTAGCACCTACTTACACCCACAACGAACATTTCTAGTTATCTTTCGGGCCACATTCACATCCAAACATGAGTAGTTCTCTAGCTAGTACTGAGACATCCTTGTGTATGTCAGTTTGTGCAGTGGGTGTTTCCACACTGCTGAACCAACCGCATGTTAGCCTTGTGGAAACAAACTATCGCAATATGGGAGGCTAACCTAGAAGATGAAACAGGTTTAAGTAACGTTGAGCGATTGCCTCACATGAAGTTTCTGTTTCTAGGCCTACGGTTCACATTACAGATATATTTGATGTTGAAATGCATCTTAAAAAGTTGCATTGCCAACATGGACTCATATGTTCACACATATAAATCTCATTTTACTATACATTCACACATACAAACCTCATGTGCACAGAATTATTCTGACATTACTTTTAGTCAGGCCATGAATGAATGGCTTCTGATTGGCTGATAAGGACTAATAGAAAAGGAGCTAGCTTCTGGTGGTTGGTTGCTGTCATATGATTGAAAGAACTAACTTCGCTGCTGATTCAATGAAAGGAGCTTGCCGCTGATTGGTTGCTGTTATATATGCAGATATGATGGGAGGGACTAAATTTTAATAGTTTTCTTCCATCTAGAAATGTCACAGACACTTTATATAATATATAGATATTTCTAGTCGCCATTCATTGATAAACAGGCTTTTTTTCTGTTGTGTATCTGTTGTAGAATTAACATATGTGTTGTCCAATTTTAAATTGTGAGAAAATGTTGCATCCTATATTTTTTAAATGAATGTTTGAAAAATCAGGTTTTATTTTAATATCAGAAATTGATATATTTGCAAGGTTGGCTGTATTTGGGTTGTGTAGACAACTAGGCTGTACCCATCACACAATTGTCATGTACTGACACACTAATGTCCAAGTGTAGTCTGCAATAAGTATTAGAGTCTAACAAAATGTCTGTTAAATCCAGAGTACTTCTGTATTAGTCAGAAATTTTGAAACTCTGATAGCTGTAGAAAGAAATTCAACTATGGTTTCTGCAGCTAAACCTTTGCATGCTGATAGAAGTGTCCCTAAAATGGAAAGTCTTTTAATAGATCTCAACTAGAGTTATTTAATGATTTTTATTTACATTGTATTGTAAACAAACAACAGTTTGGAAGTAACCTTCAGCTAAAGCTTGTTTGTTTTATATTAAACAGTTGTACAAATTTGATCAGAAAATGAATTTAAAACCAAGATAAAGCGTTATTTTGATATAAAACCCCAACTTTTCTTTGTAGTGAAACATAAAGCAAGAATTCAGACTTCACTAAAAAAAATAAGTTTTGAGTAAAAGATAAATTACAGTTTTCTTTTTCGTAAATGAAACAAAAAAAACAATAACAAACCACACAGCCAGAAGAGTAAACATGAGTCACCTGCATTTAGAAAAATATATTCTAATTTAGATATTGCAACCTGATGTTGCACTGTCTTGCTTTAAATGTAGCGCATGTGTACTGCAGCTTGCCATAAGTTAATGATCATTATTCCGCTAATTTATGTTATATGTATTCATGTTATCATTTACACTTTATTAGTCATCACAAAGATTTATGTCTATCAATTATTGCTTTTCAGCCATACAAATACGAACATTTTATAACTTATCTATGTCTTGCTTGAGGAACAAATGGCCAGTTGTCAAAAAGTCATTTGATATATATCCATGTATATGTATAATTGAAACAATTATACCATTTAACAACCCATTTGGAAGTATTGGTCGGAGGTGGGATCTCGGTGGCTTGGCACTTAAAATTAAATTAAGATTATTTCAGTAAATACTGGAATAGTGGAAATTATTGTGATATTGAAATGTTCCTCGACTCCCATTTGAGGAAAATTTGTGTAAAAATAGGCACACATGAGTATATAGATTTATCGTACATCTTTAGAAATATATTAATAATGTCCATGGCCTGCTGGATACCCAACCTACTCGGTAGTGAAGCAGACATAAAACCATGTGATTGGTACAATGAAAATATATAAACAAACTGGATGACGTTCTGAAATTGTGAACTATTAACTATGACATCATAATAAAAATCAGTTGCCTGGCCATGGATGAGATTTAGCGTGATGGAAAGACCTTCAACTGAGACTTAAAATAATAGTATATATGGATTTCAGAACCACTAACAATGTGAGAACTTCCGTATTGCCATCAGTGTGAAGAGCCGCTACACAAATATTTCTACATGCTAGACTTTCTACTTCTACTGTATGTGAAGGTGTTGACATAGGGTGGATGGGAGATGTTGTTTTGTATGGGACACGCTGTGATATATACACATGATGACTATAGATACATGTATTTCAACATTGATTTGTAATTAGAAAGTAGTTTTTTCTTCCTGTTGTCGCAAAACTTAATAGAAAGTTCAAATTAACAAGTAATTTGAACACTTGTTTTATATAAAATCTTCTGCTGACGAGACCAATGCATTTGTGTTAACGCCATGGTTGTTTAACCTTTGACCTGTTGGGTATGGTGAGGTGCTGTTTTTGACCAGTGACGTGGTTTGTCTGATGTGTTCATGTCTATAAATACTCTTGTCATCTATCATCCGAGCCTCACCCATCAACCTCTCGTCTCCTTAGCAGTTAAAGATACATAGGTACATATATACAACACACAATTAAATACTCCATTTCTCATGCTCAGTTTCTCAGATCTTCTTTGCTTTGAAATACAAATTTAAGGTTTTTCCTACTTCAGTAGTTAAGGAACTAAACTTCTCCACATATTGTATGCCGGGAAATTTTTACCCAGTCAAATATTTGCCTTTCAGCAGTGGAATCCATCTTATTCCAGTACTAACTCGGCCCTTCACATGTTATTTCTATATATGATATCTGCTCTCATGATAAATTTGCCGTCAATACAGAAAGGCAAAAGTTCAAATGCAGCAAATGTTTTCAAGTACACAGTACTTTTCCATTGTTTAGAAGAACTGATTTATAAATAGGGAGAAGAGCCAAGGCCGTTCCAATATTAAGTAGGATCCTTTTGTTGGGTGTTGGCTGGACTGAATTTAGTTACAAAGAATTTAAAATTCAGATGTACTGCTGTTTATAAGGGGAAATAAGACGTATTAATGATTTGTAATCTCATGCCATTAAAATAAGTATTTTTAACTGCGCAATCTCTCATAAATGCTTGCCAAAGATAACTTAATTCGTCACAGTAGTATATGTTTTTTCCCCATAAAGTTTTAGACTTCATTTGTAAAAGTGTATTTATTATTTGCAATTATCTGACATATTGGAAGAAAGGTCATAATATGTTGTGTTCAATAGGTGTTGTGGATCAACCTTGGTGTGTGGTGGCCAGGATACTTCCCAGTAGAGACATGGTGGGTGGTGATATTATTGGTGGCATTTCCCCGTAGTTTAGAGGTGACTGTAAATAGCACATTGTTGTACAGTGTCCGCTGTGGTCCAACACTCACTATCCTACTCATTCCTGTTATGTACTTTAATACGGAGTTAACATCTCTGTATTGCAGATAATCTTCTAATGACCTTAATTAACATTAGTCGTTTATTAAATAGGGACGGACCAGGTATACTGATGTTTCTATAGGGACGCGCCAGGTAAACTGATGTTTCTATAGGGACGCACCAGGTAAACTGATGTTTCTATAGGGACGCACCAGGTAAACTGATGTTTCTATAGGGACGCACCAGGTAAACTGATGTTTCTATAGGGACGCACCAGGTAAACTGATGTTTCTATAGGGACGCACCAGGTAAACTGATGTTTCTATAGGGACGCACCAGGTAAACTGATGTTTCTATAGGGACGCACCAGGTAAACTGATGTTTCTATAGGGACGCACCAGGTAAACTGATGTTTCTATAGGGACGCACCAGGTAAACTGATGTTTCTATAGGGACGCACCAGGTAAACTGATGTTTCTATAGGGACGCACCAGGTAAACTGATGTTTCTATAGGGACGCACCAGGTAAACTGATGTTTCTAGAGAGCCTTGACAAACACTTTCAAGAACTTCATTAACATTTGCAGGTATGTCAGGCTTCGTTGCTGAAATTGTACATTTAAAAAATTGGAGGAACCAGTTTATCCACATAAATGAACAGGTCCCTGATGCCAATGACTCAAGAAAAAGGTTGATAGAATATAACTTAGAGCCAAATATTGAAAGAACATTAATATATACAGTATGTAATGTATCAGAGGAGGTGATGCTAGACATACACGTCTATCTTGTATACCAGTATAAACTACAAGAAGCTTTACAGTCATAGTTCACATTTAAGTCCTATAAAATAGGAAGTTTTCAAACAAGATTATAGACAAGAACATTTATGTTCTAAACATGAAAACATAAATTAATATAAAAAAAAAAATCTTTCACAAAATGAAACCTTTTCTTCCCAGCTAGTAATATCATTATTTATAGCATAATATATTATACTGAGGTTTCTTTTCTGAGACCTTTTTGCCCGTGTTTCTTTTAAGAAATACCAAACCGTTCTTACAAGAACAATTACCAAAACCATCCCAACATAAGTGGTTTGGTTAAAACTTGATTAGTGCTTGTTTAGTTTTTAACATTTTAGGGTAAGTCGGGCTAAAGTGAGATTGATACGTAATAGTATCACATAGGGTGGGGGGCGTCGGTGTTGTCTTCAGGTCTTAAACTGTCTACGCAAGTTTGTCAAAGTCAATCAGCATTTAAAAGTCTTCCAGTTACTAGATTGTCACTTCAGTAAATATTTCATATCATACTTCATAAAATCTAAAAGGTCACCAAATATATTTAGCTGCTGTTCCGTTCAAGACGGCCGTTCCCAATATCAACTTGTTGTCATTAATTGTGTAAGTTTATATCGCTGTAAAATGCTACTAACACAGATTTTATTTTACAAATTACTTTTCATCAATAAGGTTGATATTAAGTAAGCTTCCGTCAGTGAAGACACTTATAGTTGTTATGAAATTGTTTTATTAATAAGATTTTGGTGCATTATTAATATTTCTGTAACGTTTTGAACATGCATAGAATACTTACCATTATTACTTCAAATCACCTCTAACCTGTTATAAGGGGTAAATTTCTCTCAACACTTGATAGAAATACTTACCGCGTCAAGTTGAGTTGAGCCTTTTGGAGAGTAGATATCTGATTTAAGTGGCACACGAACCAGGTAGCAAGAATTGATCGGTCTTTAGAATTTGTTACTAAAGCTAAGTGGAATCATGTCTGTGATGTCATCAAGGGGGTCAATGTCATAATCATCAAAACACTATCATGTTATTGAGATTCAGTGTCTTCAAACAGATATTTTGTAATCATTAGCTGTAATCGGAAAAGAAAAAAGACAACTCATCAAGTTTGTAAATTCATTAAATGTGTGAATTGATTTAAAAGTTAAAGATTTTTGTTGATATTTTTACATGGATTGATTGATGATGAGAATCAAAGGTTGAGGATTCCTGTTGAAAGATGAGGCAAGTTTGTACTAGCCATTATGTAGAACAGGAAACAGGATTAATGCAATGTGTTGTATGCTTAAGGAGATGCACATTGTTACTGGGTAGGACCGGAATCAAAACCCAATTGTACATTAAAGGAATTTAATATTATTGGTAGAATTATGAAAATTATTCAGACATAACGTAAATTCATAGTGCTTTTGATTACACAGTTTTGATATTATCTAGGAGACAGGTTTGTTCTGTGTATCAATTTGTAGTATGATGATGCAGCTTCTTCAGCAAGGAATCCTGTTATGCAAAGTTCGACTGTTTCGGTCAGAGAAAAGCAATTAGAAACGTTTTGGACAGTAAAATATGAATACAATGATGCTGAAAGTTAGTTCAGGTCATTAGAATGTGATAGTAACCACTAGAAAAACCCCAGTAAATATTCCATACATATTTACTAAAACGAAATATTTAAGTTTTGTGATTGCTGAATTAAAGAAAATGTAAACTTGAAGGGTGAGGAGTGAATGGTCTTTGTACTATTTTGTGATGCATGGAAAAATGCTACTTTTGTGACATCAAAATATGTACATTTTGAGGCCGTTTTGTGTGTGTGGTTGTGGTAAGGTTCAAGGTGTAGTGACAGCTACCAGATACAGAAGTATTGTCTAATCTGATAGTATACAGTGTACAGTTACAAAACAGATGGTTTTATATGTTTAACTATTTGGATGCAGAGTTACCGACATTGTAAAAGGTATGCTTGCTATTTTCCACAAATAATGTGATATAAATGATATCTAGCTTGACAGTTTTAACTCATTCACCCCTGAAGACATTTGAACTCTTTCAGTTCAAAGGTTGGATTAGTTCATTATGAAATTTCAGGGGTGAATGAGTTAACCACACAAACAAAATTGTCCAAAGACTGTTCCGACCTGGAACATTTTATTGGTCTGTAAATCTAGATTTCTCGTTACTCTACAAGGAGAATGAGAATCGTATCCATACTTCGGCACTTGTAAACAATTGGCCTCAAATTACGCAGATAGGAGTATTGATAAGCACTTGGCCCATGGGCTTAGTTTTCGCTGATAATGAAGTTAATGAACAAATATTCAATTCTATGTAATGGTATCCACTGGTTTGATATGTTTGCCAAAATAATATTTATATGAATATTGATACAGAGTACTTGTTGCTAAACAGTAAAGCATTTAGTCATCATATACCTATTTTTTACATTCCTTTTCATAGTAAAGAGAGTATTAGATTTTTTTTCTACTTTATCAGATTAAAAAAAAAGGCATCACTTTACCAGCACTGAGAACAGTGCTAAAATATATATATGTTGGACCAATAATAGGCCACGCTTAGGGAAGTGGTCTAAACATTGATCACTGCACCACTTCTCATTGGGGGCAGCTGACTCGGCAACAGAGTCTGGCTTTTATTACAATCCAAGATGTTTTTTTGTACAGATTGCAAGACAACACAACATCCAATGTATTTAAAGTATTCATACATTTTACAATGCAATTTGTAAAATAAAATGAAATATCCTATTATTAGTGTCTTGGTGTTGTTTGTTTCCTTCAGGCTAAAACACAGATGTTTAGGTGACCCGAGACAAAGTCTAATGTGACTTACTGCGATTGCCTTTTTGTGTGTCGTCGACTTGCATCCATAAACAATTCATACGGACCACTGGACCAATTTGATGAAATGATAATAATTCGAGGTTCTTATATACCGCTTTATCACATTCTAGTTCGTAGTTCGCCTCAAAGCGGTTCACAAATTATTATCCGTGGTTATAGGGCCTTTGCAACCAGCCAATATCTTTCTCAACTCCCTGGGGAGCATACAGCCGGAGCTGCCATTTCGGCGCTAACAGCTAGCATTCAACAGTTCTAGCACTGCCCAACCACATACTCGAACACACAACCCTTCGGTCACGAGCCCGGCGTCCTACCACTAGACTACCGTGCCTCCAAAATGGCTTCAAGTGTATTTCGCCAACACCCTCTAATAATATATGAGAGATATACGGGTCTATGGGCATCTTGATATGTTAAGTGGCACACTGTGGTAACATGTACAATTTCACTGATGTAGTTTTGTTTTAGCACTTCAGAGTCAAACAACACTCAGGAATCAGGGGTCATAGCACCTGACTTGGGTTCCAGCAGAGATGGGACTGATCGTCCAGTTGGTCAAGACTGACCATTTCCTGGTCACTCAGGGAGAAGGAGAAAATGTCAAAGTTGTCTCGAATGTGGTCTGGATTGGTGGACTTTGGGATTGCACCTGTAAGGTAAACCATATGGTCAGTACACAAAGACAAAATCCAAACTGAAGTTAATACAAAAAGACGAAAACCGGAAGTGCGTGGATGCCAGAAAAAAAAATGGAAAGTTACCATGAGCTCTGACAAAGAGCCATGGATAATAAGTTTGTTAGTTTATCCAAACAATTTGAATACTTAGATCCAGTCATTAGAGGAGTGAATCAACTCTGACAGGTAAATTCTGTAAGCAGGGGAAGCTGTAAAGTGACCTCCAACGGAAGGAAAGTAACAAACAATCATGAAATTGAAGTTGTCATGGAGATTCGCAGTGAGGTGTCCATTAATATCATACTGTAAGAAAAATTTACGATACAAAGCTGAAGGAGGGATGTAAAAACACAAACATAAGGTCCATGGCACCTGTAAATATAGTTGAGGAAACTTAGTGGACAAAATGATTATTTCAAAAATTACATGCAACTGGAGGGTAAAAAAACTTTTATACCCTTTGCATATTCAAACCCAGTATATAAAAGTAATATGACACTATAGGGTATTGCCCTGGACTGATGGATAGATGCAATGTCTCAAGGAAATAGCTTATATATTATTATGCCAGAGTTTCAGAGTATTCCCTGTCATAACAAACCATTCTAACATTATTCTGAGAACACATGCAAATCACTTCGCCCACTTGTGCCACATGGACTGTGTAAATCAGGTAGCAGGTTGACATGAGTGACACCTCTGTTTGTTATCAATCAAAACATTGCAACATATGATAGTGAATGAGTCAATATGGCTCCTGATAGGTTTTTGGAACTTGCGACTTGAAATGTTGGTTTTTGAAAATGTCTGCAAATGCATTTCGCGGCAGGCATATAACACAGGTCAATTTTTGGATTCCTAGTATTGATTATAACAAGCTTCTAGTTCTCCTTTAACCAGGTCTATTTCCAGAGACAAATGAAACATGATCACAAACAACACACAAAGGTCAACACAATCAAATAGTCTACTGGTTTGATATTCATGGGTATAATAAAACAGTAACCTGGTACAGACTGGACATTTGCAAAATATGTTAATTATTGTTCCTTCAGACAAATTGTTTCCCTTTGACTTCGGCCTTGGAAAATAGTTTGTCATTCAGCGATAATGAAATCACTATTTCCATTGTGCCCTTTCTATAACTGTATACTGTGGCAAGAACAGGAATATTCGCACTATATGTTTATGTGAAATATTCATGGACATTTGATCTTAGAGGAAATGAAATCAGACTCACAACACCTCTTGTGCTACCTACCTACACCCTGTTGTACGGCCCAGCGGAGGAGGATTCGAGCAGCAGATACTCCCCTCTGTGTGGCCATCTTACATACAACAGGGTCTGTCAGCAGCTGTAACATGATAAACAGTTTTATAGGTCAAAAACGTATAAACATCATCAGCAGGTCAACATCAGATATGTTGGTGAAACATAACCTGTACTAGCATGCAGTATTACAATGCATTGACCAAATGATGTGTTGAAATAAACCTAAATATCAAGATGAAATTTCTCGCATCTTACATACGACAGGGTCTGTCAGCAGCTGTATCATGATAAACAGTTTTATAGGTCAAAAACATATAAACATCATAAGCAGGTCAATATAAGATATGTTGGTCAAACATAACCTGTAGCATGCAGCAATACAATTGAACCTAAATATCAAGATGAAATTTCTTGCATCAAACTTCGAGGTCAAACAGGAACTATTTAAATTTCTCCAAGGTAATGTTGATATGTAGGTCAACCTTCCAAAGTCTTGATCACCCAAAAACAGCCTGATTAACACCGAGAGAGTTCATGGTCAACATCCGTCTTCATGGTCGACATAAGACATCAAAGTCATCCCCAGTCTTAAACTACAATTGTCCTAACAGGACTTACCCTCCCCCACCTCCTACACCCAGCCCACACGTATGCCCTTCTATTATCAAGGGCCATTACCCTAGCAGAAATTATTTATCACAATTTCCTCCTGAATGAACATCTTTTCTACAAATGTTTAATTAATGTGCAATGAATTAACAAGGGAAATAACTCCAGCAGATATTGCCAATTGCATCTTATTGCAAAGGGCCATAACAGAAATTGCAACTTCAGTCTTTCACACAAATCTTTTTGAACAAACAGGGGAATTCCTATTAAATATATTTTTACATGATTATAAATAGATGCTAAAAGAAATAACCTACTGTATTATTGTCTGTGGTTGTTCCTAGAGACGAGTAGGCCTGGAAGTGTATTCCTTTACTCCTACAGTAGTCCACTAACCCTCGCTGTACCAGGTGTGGGTGGTACTCCATCTGTAACAAACAAACAACCATAATTATGGTTGTTTGTTTGATACAGATTGAGTACCGCCCACACCTGGTACAGGTAAACACAACACACTCCAGGTATTCTTCAGGTAAACACAACACGCTACAGCCGTCCTACAGGTAAACAGAACACGCTACAGCCGTCCCACAGGTAAACACAACACTCCAGCTATTCTACAGGTAAACACCCCACTCCAGCTGTTCTTCAGGTAAACAACACTCAAGCTATTTTACAGGTAAATACAACAATCCAGCTATTCTACAGGTAAATACAACAATCCAGCTATTCTACAGGTAAACACCCCACTCCAGCTGTTCTGCAGGTAAACAACACTCAAGCTATTTTACAGGTAAATACAACACTACAGCTGTCCTTACAGGTAAAAACAACACTCAAGTGTCCTCTTTACCTGTTGGTTTTTGTTATACATGTAGGCTTGTTTAACCAATAATTGCAAACCACAAATTTATTCTACATTTTACCAGTTTGGAAGAAAATAAAATATGACTTACATTTATTTTCTTCCAAACTGGTAAAATGTAGAATAAATTTGTGGTTTGCAATTATTGGTTGAACAAGCCTACATGTATAACAAAAACCAACAGGTAAAGAGGGCCTGTATCTTCGCTGTACCAGGTGGGGGTGGTACTCAATCCGTAACACACAAATAACCATTACTACAGTAGTCCACTAACCCTCGCTGTGCCAGGTGTGGGTGGTCCTCAATCTGTAACACACAGATAACCATAATAACAGCGAGGGTTGGTGGACTTCTGTAACTATGGTTATTTGTGTGATACAGATTGAGTACCAGCCACACCTGGTACAGGTAAACACAACACGCTACAGCCGTCCTACAGGTAAACACCACAAGCTACAGCCGTCCTACAGGTAAGCACAACACGCTACAGCCGTCCTACAGGTAAACAGAACACGCTACAGCCGTCCTACAGGTAAGCACAACACGCTACAGCCGTCCCACAGGTAAACACAACACGCTACAGCCGTCCCACAGGTAAACACAACACATTAAAGTTGTCCTACAGGTAAAAAAACACATTCTAGCTATTCTACAGGTAAATACAACAATCCAGCTATTCTACAGGTAAACACACCACTCAAGCTGTTCTTCAGGTAAACAACACTCAAGCTATTTTACAGGTAAATAAAACAATCCAGCTATTCTACAGGTAAATACAACACTACAGCTCTCCTTACAGGTAAAAACAACACTCAAGTGTCCTCTTTACCTGTTGGTTTAAATAAACAAAAACAGGCCCTCTTACCTGTTGGTTTTTGTTGTAGATACAGGCCCTGTTTACCTGTTGGTTTAAATAAACAAAAACAGGCCCTCTTACCTGTTGGTTTTTGTTATACATGTAGGCTTGTTTAACCAATAATTGCAAACCACAAATTTATTCTACATTTTACCAGTTTGGAAGAAAATAAATGTAAGTCATATTTTATTTTCTTCCAAACTGGTAAAATGTAGAATAAATTTGTGGTTTGCAATTATTGGTTGAACAAGCCTACATGTATAACAAATACCAACAGGTAAGAGGGCCTGTATCTTCGCTGTACCAGGTGCGGGTGGTACTCAATCTGGAACACACAAATAACCATAATTTTAGTAGTTAATCAACTTTACATGATTATAAATAGATGCTAAAGGAATAACCTACTGGATTATTGGCTGTGGTTGTTCCTAGCGACGAGTAGGCCTGGAAGTGTATTCCTTTACTCCTCCAGTAGTCCACTAACCCTCGCTGTACCAGTTGTGGGTGGTACTCAAGCTGTAACACACAAATGACCATAATAACAGTAGTCTCCCAACCCTCGCTGTACCTGGTGTGGGTGGTACTCCATCTGTAACAAACAAACAACCATAATTATAGTAGCCCACCAACCCTCGCTTTACCAGGTGTGGGAGGTCATCAATCTGTAACACACTTAAATATATTTTTACAGGATTATAAAGATATTCTAAAAGAAATAACCTTCTGTATTATTGTCTGTTGTTGTTCCTAGAGACGAGTAGGCCTGGAAGTGTATTCCTTTACTCCTACAGTAGTCCTCTAACCCTCGCTGTACCTGGTGTGGGTGGTACTCCATCTGTAACACACAACTAACAATAATTATAGTAGTTCACCAACCCTCGCTGAACCAGGTGTGGGTGGTACTCAATCTGTTACACACAAATAACCATAATTATAGTAGTTAATCAACTTCCGGTGGAGAGTTTGAGCAGTGTGTGTTTACTTGTAGAACTTGAGTGTTGTTTTTACCTGTAAGGACAGCTGTAGTGTTGTATTTACCTGTAGAATAGCTGGATTGTTGTATTTACCTGTAAAATAGCTTGAGTGTTGTTTACCTGAAGAACAGCTGGAGTGGTGTGTTTACCTGTAGAATAGCTGGAGTGGTGTGTTTACCTGTAGAATAGCTGGAGTGTTGTGTTTACCTGTAGAATAGCTGGAGTGTTGTGTTTACCTGTAGAATAGCTAGAATGTGTTTTTTTACCTGTAGGACAGCTGTAATGTGTTGTGTTTACCTGTAGGACAACTTTAATGTGTTGTGTTTACCTGAAGAATAGCTGGAGTGTGTTGTGTTTACCTGTAGGACGGCTGTAGCGTGTTGTGTTTACCTGTAGGACGGCTGTAGCGTGTTGTGTTTACCTGTAGGGCAGCTGAAATGTGTTTTTATACCTGTAGGACAGCTAGAATGTTGTGTTTACCTGTAGGACGGCTGGAATGTGTTGTGTAGTCTTTATGAGGTCCTCTATATGATGTTGTAGAAAGTTTGACACACCTATTGCTTTAAGTTTCCCTGAAAATACACAAAACATTTATGGTTATAGATGGTCATACTCACATACTTTACCAATTCATTTTATTTAATATATAAACAGAAAAAGAAAATTAGGTATGAACAAGCCAGGTTAGCCCAGGAACGAACAATATCTTATAAGTCTCTACATGGAGGTCTGACCGACTAATGTTAAACCTGCAGGTGATCAAACTTGAGTGTTGCAGAAAATTACTGTTTAAACACATATGTTATAAAACATATATACTGAAAATACTGTATGTGAGACATTACCTTCCTGTTGCAGTGTGACCATGTCCGTCCAGCTCTGCATGCGCAGTTCACGGTGGCGTGTGTCACCTGGCTGCATACCCTGTGTCCCTGGCCAGTGTATGAGGTAAAGGTCGAGGTAGTCACACTGGAGGTTGTTTAGTGACTGTAGACAACTCTTCCTACACTTATCACACCCCTGGTCTTTGGGACCTGTTATAGAAATCAATGTGGGTATACACATTAACCTGTTATAGGAGGTAGTCACATTTGAGACAATGACGGGTATATACCATGGGATCTATTCACTTAGACAACTCATTCACTTTATACAAACTCACTCAGATAATAGGAATTCTATCATACTGTCAAAACCAGCTAAATGTTGTAAAGACTTCCAATTCCATGCCTTCTTGGTCTATATTACATAGTATAATGATTATTTCCCTATTTTGTATAACATGGTAAATGCATTTTATTTTAAGATGAAAATTTTCAATATCAAATGACAAACAAAAATAAGGAGGCTTATAACATTGCTTGATAAACTGAATCTGCTTACCTAGTTTACTAGTGATAAAGATGTCCTGTCTCTTTAGCCCATGTTTAGGTAGGAGGTCTTTCAGGCTTGTGCCAATGTCTTCTTCATTCTTATACACAGAAGCAGTATCTACAACATACAAAGTCAATAGCTCAACAGGTAGAACTTGTATCTATACCGAAATCAACAAGTCAAGAGGACCTGTATCTGTTTACCAAAACCAACAGACAAGGTCAATAGCTCAACAGAGAGAACTTGTATCTATACCAAAACCAACAGGTCAAGAGGACCTGTATCTGTTTACAAAAACCAACCGGGACAGAGGGACTCTATCTGTTTACTAAAAACAACAGGTAAAGAGGACCTGTATCTGTTTACAAATACCAACAGGTAAGAGGGCCTGTATCTGTTCACAAAAACCAAAGGGGCAAGAGGGACTGTATATGTTTACTAAAACCAACAGGTAAAGAGGGCCTGTATCTGTTTACCAAAACCAACGGGGCAAGAGGGCCTGTATCTCTTTACTAAAACTAATGATTAAAGAGGGCCTGTATCTTTATCCAAACCAAAAGACCAAGAGGATCTGTTTCCAACAGGTCAGCAGGGTCTGTGTCTATACCACAGTCACAAGTTCAAGGAAGTCTATATCTATTATACCAACAGGTTCAGAGGACCTGTGTCTATACCAAAATCAACAGGTTGAACAAGCCTACATGTATAACAAAAACCAACAGGCAAAGAGGGCCTGTATTTAGAACAAAACCATCAGGTAAAGAGGGCCTGTATTTATAACAAAACCAACAGGTAAGAGGGCCTGTTTCTGTTTATTTAAACCAACAGGTAAAGAGGACCTTATCTGTTTACGAAAACCAACAAGTAAAGAGGGCCTGTATCTGTTTACAAAAACCAACAGGTAAAGAGGGCCCGTATCTGTTTACGAAAACCAACAGGTAGAGAGGAACTGTATCTGTTTTCTAAAACCAACAGGTAGAGAGGGCCTGTATCTGTTTACCAAAACCAACGGGGCAAGAGGGCCTATATCTGTTTACAAAAACCTACAGGGCAAGAGGGACTGTATATGTTTACTAAAACCAACAGGTAAAGAGGGCCTGTATCTGTTTACTAAAACTAATGATTAAAGAGGGCCTGTATCTGTATCTAAACCAAAAGATCAAGAGGATCTGTTTCCAACAGGTCAGCAGGGTCTGTGTCTATACCACAGTCACAAGTTCAAGGAAGTCTTTATCTATTATACCAACAGGTTCAGAGGACCTGTGTCTATACCAAAATCAACAGGTTGAACGAGCCTACATGTATAACAAAAAACAACAGGTAAAGAGGGCCTGTATCTATAACAAAACCATCAGGTAAAGAGGGCCTGTATCTATAATAAAACTGACAGGTAAAGAGGGCCTGTATCTACAACAAAAACCAACAGGTAAACAGGGCCTGTATCTACAACAAAATCACAGGGACAAGAGTTTGTATCTATATAAAAAACAATGGATCAACTCAGTCTGATCTAACAACAACAAATTTAGGTGTACCACCAGGTCAGTAGAACCTGTATATGTACCAAACGTAAGAGGTTAACTGGGCCTGTATATTCACCACAAACACAAGGTTTACACAGATCCTGTCTTTATTTGTAAATTTGTAAATGTTAACCTGTCCATATAATTTCCTAAAACATTAGATCAACAACTTTTTTATTTTTATTATAAACAATATGTCAATGGAGCCTTATGTACATTGTAATACAGACAGGTCCCAGTTAGGGCTTTATGAAACAATGATCGACCTGCTCACCTATAGAACGGTAGCCTGCTGCAAGAGCGGAATCCAGCACTTTGTAAACCAGCTCTTTTCCTTTGATTTTAAATGTTCCAACTAAACAAAAATCAGTTAAGAGTATGATTAAAAACTAAATACATAAAATAATAAGCTTTTCGTATGTATGAATTCAAAGGGAGGCCTGGATAACACTGCAGAATCTTGTCTAGAGATAAATTTAGTCCAGCCTTGTATATTTTTTTTATATCTGTATAACTGAATTCCTTTATAATTGTCTCATATCAATTTAAAAAACAACAACAACACTATGCATTGTGTTCTGTTTCATACCAATACAATTTTTTATGAAAAGTGCTTTACAATACCGTGTTGTTGTAATAACAGTTAAAACAGGATATTTTTCAGTGCCAGATGCAAAATAAATGTAAGTCATATTTTATTTTCTTCCAAACTGGTAAAATGTAGAATAAATTTGTGGTTTGCAATTATTGTTTTAGTTTGTGATCAGGGAAATGTCATAAATAGGTACGTACATCCAATGATCGGCATGACCACACCAGAGTTCAGTGTAACGGACATTGTGAGCAAGTGTTGTAGTCGTCTGGCTGTCTGCATCAGTGTCTATCTGTCTGACAGTGCCATCTACTTGTCAAGCAGGCACAATTAATATATGCATTATGTAGAACCTAAATAGAGAAAAAGGGGAAGACAGAAACATAATGAAAACTTCTGGCAAATATGTTTTAACATTTTCCTGACATATATATGGCCTACTATACATATATAATGTATTTTTAAAACGGATTTGTTAATTACTCTTTCCACTGCTTGTCAGAATGCTAAGACTAGGAGTCCCATGTGTTCAGTGTTTGTTGGAAGCCCCTGTAGTTAGTGACTATATGAGGCTAGAAGGTCAATTAGATAAGTGGTTATAACTGTTGTATCTTTTTACACAATGAAATTGAATTGTATTTAATTGAATTGGTTTAGTGTCCAGAATCCCATGATGTCCTCAGCCCCATGGGGGTCAGGCAGGAGTTCCCCAATGCTAATTATGCCTACTATCAGACTATACACCTGCCCAGAGACGTATATAATGTGTTATATACGTCTCTGACCTGCCCCTCTGCTCCGTAGGTCTAGCCTCTATGATCATATAATAAGTTACGTTAATTATTGTCCACAGGTGCCCGGTTAATCAAACTGTCAAAACTATCAGTTTCAGTGGTGATAGCTATACAGTCCCCAGGTGTGCTCAAGGACATGGACGTTTTCCGTATACATGTCATGTAGCAAAAGTTACAGTACCCAAGATATTGTGTCTACACAAGACACATTAATGCATATCAATTTGCGTACGATAACCCAATTAGTTACAACAGTTAGGTACTGTACCGGTACAAATCAGACGACACAGCAGACTACTGTGTATTAGGCACTCGTGTTGGCCTATTAGCCAGAAATTTTCCATCACACCGTGTTATTTAATGTTTGTATGAAAAAAGGTCAATATTGTCTAAATATAGTCTTACTCTTTACTGGGAATAATCCCAAGTTGTTCCGACTGGATGGGGAATTACCCAAAACAAGTCGACATTGCGGTGTCGATGATAAAATAATCCTACTCTATTAGTTCCCTTGACAGGAATTTGTGTTGTTATTAAATATTCGTATTATATAAGACATCGAATCTACTAGAATTTATATATAGTGCTCAATTTTATTAAGATATAGAATAAAAATGAGCTGTAAATTAATGCAAATATGTTTTGTTTCATTGGAGACTGGCACTGCATTATGGGCTATCTAATTTCCCCGACACCGCCGGCAAAGCTGTCTGTTGAAACGTGCCCACCAGCTGACTTCACAAATTTCCAACGAGCTGACCATGTCGTTTTCTTTAAGTTCCGTTTTAATAACTGACGAAATTGACCAGAAATGTGTCGACGTTCTGAAGAACAATGGCATTAACGTAGTCAAAAACACGAAGCTGTCAAAAGACGAACTGCTTGTGGAAATTGCGGTAAGTTTGGCGAAATATAGCGTTACTGACCTTTTTTTTATACCTACTGTAAGTAGCCTAATAGTTTGTGGTACATTTATTTTTTTTCCCTACCATCCGGTTATATTCTATTCCTCTTTGGTAAATTATCCCTAACCGATTTATTTGGACCTATATGCTTTTTACTGCTTTTTCGGTTGCAGAGCTAATCAGAATTATTGACTTCATTGAATGAGGTACCTAACCGTGCATTCCAGTGGGATTCTGGAGAAAATAATATGCATTCCATTCTACGGTAGAGTTTTGAAATAAAATCAATTTTGTTTTAATACCTTTGACCTTTAGCAGAAGTATAGTATGATGACCTTTATATGATATTGACCTTTACAGACTTGTGTTAATCTTGAGAGAACCATGGATACTGGTGACCTTTCGAAATTGACGTTTACATAAGTATGACATATCTATGATTTTGACCTTTAGTACATTAACATATTTGCAATTCATATATATCCTGTCAAAATTGATATAATTATATGGGGAGCATCATTCAGTCAACACTTAGGTCATCGATCCTTGATACTCCAGAGATAACTCTCACTAATTATACATGTTTTCTACACCCCTGGAATATTTTAATATGCCATAGCAAAATTGAAGGTGACTAGCTATTTGATTGGTACAGGTGAAAATAAACTGACCAATCTCTTGGCTGATACTTCCTTTGGGTATTACAGAGGAGCAACGCCCAACTTCAAAGCCAGTCCATTTTACCATTAAGCTACCACAGGATTCTTTTGATTTACATGGAAGGATCAATCTAGTGTTCTTCTGTCATCCACAAGGAGGCAAACACTATATAATTAAGCCTTCGATTTTGTCATGACATTTTTCAGGGGTGCAAAAAGCATAAGTGAGCGTGACCCCATGAGTATCGAGAATGCACTGAAGTTTTTGGAAGATATAATCTTACTTGCTTAAATATTGTTGAATTTTGATGAAATTGTAAGAATCAAGAAAATATAAAGATGAAGGCTCAGTTCGAAGCAGTGCAAAATCCATGCATAATTGATTAATGCTCTAATTTATGACCAGGTTCTGATGAATTTTGGTCAAATTTTAAAGTACACAAGAGAAATGCTAAATTTGAATTCAAGCAAAATCTGTGTGTAATTAAGTAGCAATTCATAGTAGAATTTCAACAGTTTTGATTAATATTGTACCATGCATTAATATGAGTCCTGTAAGCAAGTCCACCATATAGATGTTGCATAATATGGATTAATTTCAATATGGGCAAAGGGAGACAATCCCTACACAACAGTGATGATGATTATTGATATTAGGAATATGACAGGGCTTTCAAAAACCTAAGACCCCGGGACGAACTAGCAGTGATATTCTGTTTGACACATGACTATTGCATGTCTTATGTCACTCTGATGCTTTCCTATATTTGAATGGTGACCGTGTACTTGGTCAACATTGCCCAAGTTCGCCCATCTGTGACGGGTTTCATTGACAATGTTTTTATGTTTACAGAAGTACGATGGCCTTGTGGTTCGATCTGCCACCAAGGTGACAGCTGATGTGATTGAGGCTGCCACCAACCTGAAGATCATTGGTCGAGCTGGAACCGGGGTGGACAACATTGACTGTGATGCAGCTTCCCGCAAGGGCATCATTGTTATGAAGTAAATCTGAGTTCCAACGTTAATATCTGTTACCTCCCTGCAGGTATCAATTGAAGTCTGTATTTGATCTTAAAATTCCATGTTCCTGTATAGGTTTGCATAGGTTTACTGATTTGAAATAAAGATTTATTACATGATGTTTTAAGGAAAAGTGAGTTTGTTCAATTGATAGTAAGTATAATTACTTTAATTTCTATCATTGTTCTTTTCCATTAATTTGATGACAAGACTACTGCTTATTATACACCCGTAACAACGTTAGCAAGGGAGTTACTGGAATCTTCTGGGCTGTAGAGTTTAGAAACAGATTTTAAATAATTTATTAAATGTGGAAAAAATGCTTAAATCTCAATTGGACTAGGACAGATATGTTTAAATTTTCTAACAATAAGGAAGATTTTTGTTAACATACTATTCCACTTTAGCATTTGGACTGTAGCACCGACTGGCAGATGCTAATTTGCATCTGTCAACATGCCTGACAGGAAATTATGTCAGATGTATTATTGACAGAAGTAACATTCACATTTTGGACATTTTGTCAACTAAGTTTTAGTCCTGCTATGTAAAATTGAAAGCAGTGGCCTGTGATTTTTTATCCTTATGATTTTGTTTCCAGTACCCCAGGAGGGAACACACTGAGTGCAGCGGAACACACATGTGCCCTGATATGTGCATCGTCCAGGTTGGTACTGGGTCTCAATAAAGAAAAGTACATCTTCGAAATAAACTCAGCTGCCATATTGCTGATGACAATAGCACCACTTCTAGCACTAGGGAATTTCTTTGTCAATTCTATGACCACTTTCTTGACTAGCCGTACAAGAAACTTAAATCAAAATATTCGTGGGTTACATGAATATCATTTGAATGCTTGTATGTATGACATCATCTTTGCAATCCTGGTTAACCATTGACCTATAACATGACTTCAAATTGCATTGAATTCTCTTTTCAACTTCAATAAGTATTGTGCATGTCTCTGTTTAAGTCTTATTTCTGTCTCTCTTTATTTCCAATGACCCTTGTGGGATTTGAAATTTTCTATACATCTAATGAAGTAATCATACAACCTTGTTTGGCTTCTGTCCCCAGACATATACACCAAGGTGACCGAGCCATGAAGGGAGAGAACTGGGGGGAGCGCAAGAAGCTGATGGGTTCCGAGTTATACGGTAAAACTCTCGCCATTATTGGTCTGGGACGCATTGGAAAGGAGGTGGCTCTCAGGATGCAGTCCTTTGGTATGACAGTAAGTATCCAGTAGTCAAACATTATTATGACCTACCCTTATTGGATGCTGTGTACAGCATTCATAGCGGTCCTCGTCTAGCCTGGGCATATCAAAACCAAACAACATAATTATGGTAATTTGTTCCGTGTTCTGTTCTGTTTCTGTTCCCAAAGTTTGTTCATATTGCAAGGAATTATGAACTATTTTGATAATATTTATGCATATTACAATACAGTACAAACTTCACTCATACATAATTGTTCATCTGTCAGACCATAGGATTTGATCCCATCATCCCCGGTTCAGTGAGCGCAGAGTTCAACGTGGAGTGGATGGCTCTGGAGGCGATCTGGCCTAAGGCAGACTACATCACCGTACACACCCCTCTGATTCCACAAACAAGAAGTAAGTAAGGTCTCTATTTGAGCAGCAACATCCAAAAAACAGACGTTTAATCTGTTAGCATTGGTATTAAATCTTTATATATCATACATGAAAATAGCAAAACCACCATAGACTAGTCTGATTGTAAGTCGAAGTTCAGATTTTAATTTTGTCCAAGTGAAGTCTGGTATCATAAAAAGGCTTAAAATCATAAACCACTTTTTGTGTTGCTCATGAAGCAAAGGTATAACAGATAGGGCTCATCGTCAACACAGCATTATCATCCTCACAAATGGTTTTCTTGCGATTAGTCTTGAAGGAATGCATTGATGTTCATTAAACCTTGTACAAATTCCTATATTATCAATAGCCTGTTCAGGTTTGATTGGAGCCAAATCGGATAATCGATATGCCAACAGCAGCCATTCTGGTTTGTGTGAAAAGTCACATGCTTTTTATGCGATATCCTAGAAGGAATGCCTTGATTTTCATGAAAAGCTTTTTAACTCATTCACCCATGAAGACATATTTGAGACATTCCATTTCAAAGGTTGGAATAGTTCATCATGAAATTTCAGGGGTAAATGAGTTAAACACCTATCCATGTAATATGAACTACCCAATCAAGTTCAATCCCATTTGGGCCAGGGAACAAATCAACTTACCCGGAATTCTCGTCTCGCTTTTTATTGGGTTGTTCACTGGAGATGTATGCCCGTCATTGTTTTCTGTTACAGATCTAATCAACGATAAGGTTTTCTCCCTGTGTAAGCGTGGTGTGCGGGTCATCAATGTTGCTAGAGGCGGTATCATAGAGGAGGAGGCCCTACTCCGCGCCCTCGAGTCTGGTCAGTGTGGTGGTGCTGGCATAGATGTGTACAGCTCAGTAAGTAATACATAATAACTATACATAACAGCATACACACATGGCTGTTGCTATGATAAGTCTAAGACATCCTGCGTTCCATGTCTCAACTTTCTTCTCATATAGTGTATAAACTTATGTTTACTCTCTTGATTGATCAAAATATACATATGGAATCATTCATTGTACAGGAACCTCCCAAGGACTTCAGCTTGGCCAAACACAGGAATGTAGTGGCGACACCCCACTTGGGTGCCAGCACTGTAGAGGCTCAACAGCGAGTGGCCGTGGAGATAGCAGAGCAGTTTGTGGATCTGGTGCAGGGGAAGAGCCTATTTGGTGCTGTAAGTATAGCAATACATATATACAACATTTGATATAGCGCCCTATCTAACTAACAAAAGCCACTCTAAAGCGCTTTACAGAACATAGATACACAATTTCATACAGTCAATACAATTAGCATATATACGCTAGATGTCAAGTCAGTTGACATCCTGGCTTCTTTACAGAGCTACCAATAAGCTGAATTAATAATACCTCTGACTTTTGGCAAGATATTTTTAAAACTTGTTCCACAAAACTGAAATTACACCCGTCATTATACCTCAACAGGTGAATGCCCCTGCCCTGACCAATGCCATGGACGTAAACACCCAGCCCTGGATAGAACTCGGCAAGAAACTTGGTGTGGTGGCGGCCGCAGTAAATGACCAAAACAAGGAGTTCAGCGTTGCGTTATATGGTATGTCGTAAGGATCCGAATACCACTGCCAATACCTGTATTTATTGGGAACATTCCTTCCACCATGACTAGTAGCTTTGAAAAATCATCTTTGATGAGAAAACCATATCTTTCAAAAGTATTTAAGAAAAAAAAAGGATATGTGATATACCATAAAAACTCATTTAATGCACACTTTTTTTGAGAAATTCAATGCCCAAAGTGGGGGGTGCGCAGAATACATAAGTGTAAGCAAACTATCAACAACATAGTTCTTTAACCAACTAGCTTGTCCATGGTAGGACCATGGACCAGTCGTGCTATATCTGTATCCAAATCAAAGTTAAGGGAAGGTCACTGTATGTATGGAAAAACTACCGTAAATTATCTAAGGTTTTGTCTGTAGTGGGACAGGGATCATTAGATACCAGCTTGTGTACCAAAGTAAAATCACCAGTGAAATTTTCCACTCAATACAATTAGTGCTTTGATACCAATCAAATATCATATGAAGTGGATAATCTGAGAGATTCTATATTTTTTTCTGTCAGGTTCCAGTCTTGGTAAGTCAGCAGGCTCCTATATGACCGCTGCTGTGCTGGCAGGTCTCCTACAGAACTCCTCACTCCTTGGAGCTGGTGACAGCAGCAAACTCAACCTTGTCAGTGCCCCAGCCCTCGCTAAACAGTACGGTATCAATGTAAGTAGAACACTATAGCTCTGATAGGGTAGCAACCAAAACACCCATGTATTAAGTAATTAGTCTCAAAATTCTTGTAAGTGCAATAATAATTTGTTGTTATTGACAGTACTTGGCTCATTTTATTCAGCTTGACAATTGTCACAGAAAAACCAATTTAAAATTCTGTTTAATCTCACAAAAATTACATTTTTGAAAAAATCAGAAAATCTATGAATATTTGAAGTTTTCAAGCATGCAAGAGTTGTAAACAGCCAGTGCCCTGTCTTAACTTTTAACCTTGATTTTCTACAGTCTAAAAGTACATATGAGGAGGCAGCCCCTGCCCCTTACAGTGCTCTGGTGAGTGTTGTGTTCAGTAATGGATTCCGTGTGTCTGGGACGACATCGGGAGGCCAGGCTTTGTTGGTGGAAATACAGGGTCAGAAATTCCCCTCACCTGCCTGTCTCTGTGATTCAGTCGTCGTCTTCCGGGGAACCTCCAACCCACAGCTCATACCCAATGTGGCAGGTAAACATCACACCACAACTAAATCCACCTCAATTATAAATCATTGGATACAAATCACATACATTAGTGGAACCTTACCACTATCTGTTCTTTTGTCTCCTTATAGGCAATTGTTCTTATATGATCTTAGCTTATGTGAGGACGATTAACTCCGTACAAACAATCTATCTAGGAGTCAAGACAACAAAAACCTTGAGTGTGAATGGATTATAAACTTTGATTCAAGTATATCTCCTTGTGGTTCAAGTCCTAGTTAATGGAATTCGGTTTATTAACAGAATGTTAAAATTTTGATCCAACTGACGAGAAACATATCATTGGTTGCTTCCCGGATAGTAGTGTATATCGCTGCACAAATTTGTTGTTTTGACAACTTAGAAAGGATATACATTAAACATCTGCTGTGTGATAAGTCCAATTTCTTTCTTTCTTTCTATATAACATGCAAGGTCTTTTTCTATTATGGTCTGACCGATCTGTATGCAATATGTTCACAAGCTTGTTTCTCAAGTTTTGGAATTTTTTTTATTGAAATGTACTTTAATAAGATGTTGAAAGTATTTGACTTCTGTGTTTGATATTGACAGGTGCCTTGGTCGGAGCTGGTGTAACAGTAACAAGTCTGAACACATCCTTAGAGACTGATGGACAGAAGTGGGGAGTGGCCACATTTGCCACGCCACCCTCAGAAAGTTGCCTGGAGGCTCTGAAGTCTCTTGTCACGGCAGCCCGACTCATCGCCTTCTAAGTACTGTACACGCTTCTTAAACAGCTCCACAGTGTTTCTGTGCAATAGAGACAAACACTGCACTTAATTAGGGCAAATGTTGACTGGGTGGCATATTCCGTCTTTGCATATTGCAGAGTTATCTGCTCTTGTGAGCAGGGATTGATTGTTACGTCATTTGTTTGTGAGAGGAACGTCATCAATTTTTGAGAAAACGACGTGATTTTCTCCCACACACCAATGACTTAACAATCAATACCTGCTCACAAGAGAAGATAACTCTGCAATATGCAAAGACGGAATATGTGAACTGAACACACAGCTTTACTGTTTCACAAATGAGAAGACGTACAACTGGTCTGAGACGAAGACAGGAATACTGTGGAAACTTGTCAGGTCATGTCAAGATCATTTTCGGGAGAAACAGTTTATTGAACAGACTGCTGGGTCGTGATTTCCACTGTTTATGCCGAAATATTCAATTATTTTAGTTGTCGCGCACAAAACTGGTCCCATTCTACCAGCATCTGTAAAAGGTAAACAGGTGCTCCTTATAACACTTCTTATCAATGGAGAAGTGAAGTAAGGCATTGCACTTCACTGCTTATTTTAAATTATAAAACCTGAAAATTTGGGGCATAAGAACCTGGTAGTTAACAGAAGTGTTATTGCCAGACTCTGGGGAGAGGTAAACTTGTAATGGTGTTTGTATTAATCATTCTATTATAGTCTACCAGGACTGCCAATTGATTGTTTTTTGCAATTCACTTTTCATTCTTACTCAACATTTCTCATGTTCTTTTTCTTTTGAGATCTTCATTTGTTATTTAATCAAGTGATATTTGCCATCAGCTTCATTTTTTAAAGCCATTTTTTGCTTGAAACAAAGAAAATTATAATTCATTTTTTTTAAATGATATCCGTCCTTACCTACAGGTGTACAAGTTTTTTGAACAAAATATAGAATCTTTAGATTAATATGTTACTGGATTCCTGTCCTATCTTGAAAGAACATAAATGAATGTTCATATCTAATTTACAGAAAGAGTTAAGGTTTTATAATGAATTTACACAGTTTTCAGATTGCATTTATACTAAAATACCTTAGTTTATAACTAATTTGTTTCATAAATTTTAGACCCGGTGTTTAATATCATGAATCATGTTATAAAAGTTGTTCGTTTTGATTATGATCATAATAAAATTGCAACAGAATCAGTTTTTAAGTTAGAATCTCAGTTGAGTTCAGAATCTCACGGGGTTGCTGTATGCTAGGAATCTTTTACCATTAAATATTAGCCCTTCACATAAATGGTGTGTATTCTAAGCTGTAGATTTGCCATCATAATGAAAAATTACCCTGATATTGCAGTGGGTAAAAAACGTGAAAGTTAAATTTTGGCAAAAAATTTCCCAGTATGCAGTCATTTGAGAACATGAAAGACTAGTCATTGAGTATATTTTGTAAGTGCTATATGGTGTTGTAATGCCACATTTGATGTTATCCATAAATTAAAGTGCTTCCTTGTTTATCAAGAAGGATCAAAGTCTATATTTCTGTGCTGATTGGACATTGAAGTGTAAATGGAGGGAAACGACATCATTATCATAGCAAAAAAAATAGATTTCCAAAGTCATTTTCTATGGAAATTTGCAGATGTTGCCATTGATTTTGGGAATCTATGTGCATATTTTTCATTTGTTGGTTAGTGAGATTATTTATCTGGAGCTAGACTTTTCCTGTGTAGCTTTGATTTAACTTCATCCTTATTGGTCTAGAGCATTATTTTATACCATAAACTGTATAAGCTTTATTTTGGTGTATTATAAATAAACTTTATGTTTTGTTTGTTAAGTCAACACTTTAAAATGATCAATAAAACAATAAACAGATTCCGTTGTTCTTGTCTTATTTTCTTGTTTCTATTCTGTTCCAATTTCCTTCAAAAAGAATTTAACATCAATCATTGAATAACAGATCCCTTTTCACATTTTAGTGAAGTTATTTGCCAGATAATCTGGTCATGAAGCAAATACTTTTACACCTTATATTCGCCATTTAACTTATGAAGACACATTTGAACCCTTCCAATTCAAAGGTTGGAATAGTTCATTATGAAATTTCAGGGGTGAATGAGTTAATAGCATAACCATACAACAAATAGATGATTAGAGAGAAAGAATTGTCCATCTGAACACTAACCAAGGACATACCAGTAGAAAACGACATTAATGTGTAAGAATTGGGGGACAACGATTGTGTGTACATGTTTTGTGTTCTCGGATATCGGGAATCTGACAGCAATGTTGGGAGTACATCTGGCTTCAGTATCACTTAAAAGCTGCGCAATGATCAGGGAAGCTTGAGTAACCATGTTGCTCGTCTGGTCTTTAATATTTGGGTTCTCCGAGTATCATTGAAATCGATGACAAGAGGGACTGAGGTACTGATTTTTCCTGACATTGCTCTTCAAACTCCCCTTTAAAACTATATTTCTCATGTTCCATTACACCTCTTCGAACGATGTTCGCAGCTTTTGAAAGCTGTAGGGCCTCTCCATCATAATCATTCCCACATGTTATTTTAAGTGCGTATCCTATATCTTCTTTGAATACCAGCAACACCTTGCAACCATGTTTGTGGGCTTGCAAAGGAAATTGCTTTTAATGGCATTATTTATGAAAAATTGAGTTAGGGATTAACAAGATAACTTGCTGTGATATTGAAGCTCACTATCATAAGATCTCCAATAGTTCTATGTAAATTCTATCTTTCCCATTTCATTGTTTGATTTATAGTCATGTCGACATGAAATGCAGCGTGTGGTAACTTATAACTTCATACTACTACTGTATATTTGACATTTGACCTTTCAAATATCTTTTAGGTTTATATATAGTTTGACCTACTGATTAGAATGTGTTAAATAACTAGTGACTTTTGGCAGCCATCACTTTTTTCTGATCAAGCTTAAATTTTTAAATGAGGTATGCAAATCTGGAAAACAAAAAGCACCTGTTGGAGTGTTCATGAAATTTGAGAAACATTTGTACTTTCTGTGAACAGCTACAATATTAGTTACATGTATTTTTGGCAGGGTATACGGGATGGTATGACCCTTAAGGGTTTCGTATTTCCCTAGGCCGAAGGAAATACGAAATCCTGTAGGGTCATACCATCCTGTATACCCTGCCAAAAATCTGTGTAACGAATTTATTACCCCTTTGAGTCTTTTATATTGGTTATGTACAGTTCCCCATCAACTTTTCTGTTGTCAAGATAACAAGAGGCACAATGGGCCTGCATCGCTCACCTGTTATAAATCTAACACTTGTAATTTTAAGATTTCATAAGAACCTATTAAAAGATTTAAACATATGACGCCTCTGACCTTGAAAGTGGGTCAAGGTTATTTATTTGAACAAACTTGGTAGCCCTTGATCTCAGCATGCTACTAGCCAAATATCATCATACTAGGCCTTTTGGTTACTGAAAAGAAGTTGTTTAAAGCAAAATGTTGACGCCGAAAAGACGGACGGACGACGGACACCGCACCATAATTATGTGTGCCTTCGGGCAGGTGAGCTAAAAATGGCACATTTAGTTTCTTTTAATCAAATTCCTCGAACTGTTCTTCCTGATTCTTTTCTTTTAAATACGTCCTCAGCATGTTTGCTCGTCTGTTCGACTTTTGTGTGTTTTGTGGCACATAGTTAGCCCTTTTGGCGAGTATTTCCTCATCAGTATGCGAAGCAAAACATTTTGCCATTTTGTAAACAGCGAAGCAGACGACAAATGTGAGTTGTCTCCCGTTGCCCGGCCGCAAGATACAAAGACACGTGACCCGTATACCCCTTGTAAAATCATGTGATTCCACCATATTACTGCTGAGAATCACGTGACATGACCGTATACCCCCGGAGATTTACGAATGCGGTTTGGTACACTGTAGTTTTTAACCAATCAGATTCCTAGATATTTCTCAAAGGGGTAATAACAATGAATATGCAGTGGTCAAATTTAAGATGTCTGCCTAGCGGAAATCTTGTTTTCCAAATAATGAACATGCACTAAGTCAATTTGTACGAATAAAGAGGGCTCTGGATATGAAGTTTGAGAAAACGTTATTCAGGGAAATAAATGTCAAAACCCTGATACAAAGAAAGCTGATCAGAGGAAAGACAATGACTTGTCTTTGAGGACTTTCCAAATGACCTTGACATTAGGTCAATGAAATGTACCAGTATATATTAGACTAAGTGTTAAATACTACAGCTTTCTAGCAATCTTTGGTGTAAACAACTTAGTTTATCTTGCAAGTCTGTCAACTTTGACCTGTGTTTAAGACCATCAGCCACAAAAGTGAAATATTGAATATAAATAGGTGGCAGATTTTTTATTGTATGTAGGATAACGGTTGCCTCCTAGCTACGCACGAGAAAGAATTTTTCTGTAGCTCAGTGGTAGAGCGTCCGACCAGAAAGTCAGGGGTCGCGGGTTTGATCCCGGGTGGATGCCCACTACTCTCTTTCCTGTCACAAATAACAAAACAACAAAATGTTCTTTCAACATGACCATATAATTAAATGTACTTAGTTACATTAGAAATGGTATGATTATTTACAAGGAGTGATCACAGTGAGTGGAAAGCTATCCTCGTCTACAAAACCATAAAACCAACCACAAACCCATACCAAGCTGGAAATGCGCCCTTCTGTCAAACAGCACTAGCTACTTATATATGACCAACCTCTTTTGATTGATAAAAAAATAGATCCCCATTTAATCCACACGATATATAAACATTTCAAAATTTACAGTTGTTTTACAGCGAAACCTGTTTCAACCAACATCCTGTGAGAGACAACCTTTGGTCAGATAAGACAGGAAATGGGAAAACATTATTATGGATTCGGACTAAACATGTTTCATTGTATTTTGTTGTTTTATGATTAAAACACTAATATCAATTGAGACATCATCACATAACTGTTATAAACATTCCATTTTATATTTATATTGACTTGGCAACCTTATGTTTTAATAAATGTAGTGACAATTTTTTTCAAAATTTACAGTTATTTTAAATATGTTATTAAACTCGTTACAAACAAAATGTATTACTGTGAACCAAATCTAGTACTCGGACATTAATCAACGCTCTCGTTCATAAACCCTGCTGACAAGTGTAACAAATCTTGTCTGTATGAATAGTCTCAAGATCGTTTAATTAGTGATTGAATGTAGAAACATGTAGAAAAAAATAATTCTCCATGAAATGAAAATGATTAAATACAGTATTCATATCACTGCAATGATTAAATATAAAAAAATCTGCATCTTAATTACATTTGTTTATCAAATATTTTAATAAAAGATCAGAAAAAAAGTGAAGATTTAAATTCAAAACTTCCTGTTAGGCCTTTAGAGCAAGACAAAATTCAAAATGTATCAAAATTCTAAGAGGGGATATGAAGAAATTTGCACACAGAACAAACACAAGTGACCCATCTAACTGACCAGAGTATTGTTGCGGAAAATCTTACAATATGTTGATATATACAGGTTTACAGTAACTTGTATATTTACTTACTTAGTACAGGTAGTATATTGCGATATCAAACCAGCACACAAATAATACATGATGGTTTATATATACGATGTAAGACACTAAAAGTAATTTAAAAGATCCATCACAATGTATTAAATATTGAATGAATAAGATTTTCCGCACTAATGCAAAACAACCCTAACAGCACAGATTGTGATCTGTATACACGCAATACACCTGGATAATTTTTTACCTGGCTGACCTGGAATCGGTAGATCACGGAGATGGGCCACTCACGATGTTCTTTATATAAACATTCAGAGAATTCCAAATATTAGGTATGCTTATTAGGACACTATTGATGGTGTTATATAGCTAAATAGTAAAATCAACAACCCTAACACCAGTACTGTCCTCAATTAGTTTTCTAAACATACACCACCGGCACAGCCAGTGACATGATCTAAACAAGAGTGAAACCGAGACCAATGTTATATAATAGTAAATAGAAAGTAAACTTTGCATGAGAAAAATATACAAGTCTATGTTTCGAACTGTTCACATTCAGGTAGATTTTCACACAGCTAACCCTCACATGTCCACCTGAGTAATCGGGATCAGTATCTTATTGGTGGTCTACTTCTTTTAAGGTAGAAATATATACATTACAAAGATAAAAGATCCTCTTCACGTGTTAAGCTGTAACATATCTCTACGAACTCACACACTTATCAAAAACATTGTTAAATAAATAAAATCTGTAACAAAATTAATAGACATTCATCCATATTCTAATTTTGAGATTGAGAAAAGACTGTTCTGTCTGGTCAGTTATGTAGTCAATATCAACTGACCACCTCTACTGAATCAGTAGGACTGACCAGTACCTTCTCTGGTCACCTTGAATGAATGAATCAGTCTGAGGAGTGACGAGCACCAGCTCTGGTCATTGTCAATACATCAGTCTGAGGAGTGACCAGTACCAGTTCTGGTCATTGTCATTACATCAGTCTAAGGAGTGACCAGTACCAGCTCTGGTCATTGCCATTTCATCAGTCTGAGGAGTGACCAGTACCAGCTCTGGTCATTGTCATTACATCAGTCTAAGGAGTGACCAGTACCAGCTCTGGTCATTGCCATTTCATCAGTCTGAGGAGTGACCAGTACCAGCTCTGGTCATTGTCATTACATCAGTCCGAGGAGTGACCAGTACCAGCTCTGGTCATTGTAGCTCTGGTCATTGTCATTACATCAGTCTGAGGAGTGACCAGTACCAGCTCTGGTCATCTTCATTAGATGAAGAAAGAAGGATGAAATGCTTTGAAGAAAATGTATAACAATTAAAAATAGTAATGTTTCAAAGTTACTTTTCGCATAGACAGATACCATCACATTTATAGATATATAATCATGTACAGGTAATTTTCAACAAAACTTCCAAATTGATAAAGGACTGATGGTAGAGGTACTGGTACAAAAGTACACTATTCCTGGATTTTTAGATCTCAGCCAGTACATGGCATATGGTACATATACACATGATCTGATCACAGCCAGAACGGGGCTCACACAGCCTGGTCACAGCCTGTCCATGGCTTCTACTCATGGAAAGTAAATGTACTGTTTTTGTACAAATTGCATATTTACAGTGGTCGATCTTATAGGAGTTCAAAGTTCAAATTATTTATTTGAGGCTCATCCTTATAGAATGGGAATTGACCAAATTTTCACAGTTATGAACATGTATTGGTAGTGGACAACATACAAGGACCACCTGTGTTAATCATCAGAGAAAACACACTCTGTACTAATTTAGTACACATGCTAAAACATACTTATTTTATATCTAGAATCCCTTTAAAACACATAACAAAGAACCTGCTTGATATTATTCTTCAGATAAAAACAAAACAGCTTGTGTCTTAGAATATTTTTTCTTTCTCCTGCTCATTTCAATATTGTGTACTGTAGAACCATTTATTTTTGCGGGGTTAAAATTTCGTGGTTTTCATATTCTAGCCTGTTTTAAGGACATTATCATTCGCTGATTTCTGATTTTCCCCCAATCTATATCATACCAAATTTATGTTTTTGTGGGGAGTTAATTGCGAGGATTTTTGTTATCCACAAAATAAACGAAATTTAATGTCCCACAAAAATTTATGATTTTACAGTAGTCAATACAAATGTTCTGTACACATAAATACAAAGTTAAAGGTTTAAACACTGTAAAGTATCACACTGTTAATGTACAAGTATTGCTTAATAAATGTCAAATCATGACCAACAAGCGTCATCAAAACTTCCACTTCAGATAAATCTATATCATACATAAAAACAACACAAATAAATATATACATTCCACTTGAGTCCAGTCTGATCCGTGTCCTCTAAAAAAACTTACAATGCAATAAATAAGTCTTAGCTAAGTTTGAAATCATGTGTTCCTGACAACACATTTATGTGTAACTCATGTTAAAAAGACCAGATCAAAAATTAAAAAGTGTACAGGGTTATTTTACTGTCATAGATGAAACTACCAAATCAAAACAATAATTTAGCTTATTATCAAATAAATATGGAGTTTCTACAAAACATTCATTAGGACTTGAAGTCTGGTGACATAATTTTCAAAGGCCAGCTCAATAATGTTTATCCCAGAAGTCTTCGTGTTTTACGTCCGGGCTGCAGTGTGGTTTTAACTCATTTTCCCCTGAAGACACATTTGAACTCTTCCAATTCAAAGGTTGAAATAGTTTATTATGAAAGTTCAGGGGTGAATAAGTTAATCACTGAAACAAGTAATATTTATCCTAACTTTGTACTTAAATAGTTCTAGCCCTGTATAGTCTTGCAACATGTAAATGTTAGACCAGAAGTTGTAATTCTTTACATCTGGACTGCAGTGTGCTTTACTCATTCGGACAAGTACAAGTTCAAGTTTACAAATTCATATTAAGTTATTTTCCATAGGCAGAGATAATCAATTTTAAAAATAATGTCTCTGACTTTCTGTCTCTCCCATACACACACACAAATATATACATGATTAACAACGATGAGATTCAGCAATTGCACAGGGATATGGAGTCCTCAGCTCACAGCCTTAGAAGTAGAGGTCAGTAAAAGTCTGTTTTAGATAAGGGAAGAATCAGGTCAATAGGTCAAGGACGTTTAGATTAGGTCTTGGCAAACAAATCTTTCTCCAATGGCTGAGGAAGGGATGTTCTTTGCCAAAACTTTAGAAAAAGACAGTTTTCCTTCAGCTCAAGTCTGGTTTATTAGAGGCCACGCTGGCATGATATAAAATGTATCGCACACACAAAATTAACATACAGGTTAGTCTGTGTGTGAAGGTCAATGAACAATTATACTGGGAGTAGTTGTCAGCCATTCCTATGGTCCCTTACCATCTAATAAAAACAGAAAACTAAAGCAAATATCAAAATCTGTAATCCAGAAGAAAAAGATATCCAAATACAAAGGTGATCAAATGAAAGCCTATACTTTCCTCTATACTACTAGCATGATCAAGCTTTGTTAACTTTCCCTTCCGTGCTTAAAATTTCTAATGATCAAAAAATTATGTAACTTGACCTTGAAGAAAAATGCTCATGAAATCCAACTCCCAAAATAAAGCGCAATACCTACTTTTAGGAAATATAGTGCTCACAATTTTCAGCTGATTCTAAGTGATTATTAACTCATTCACCCCTGAAGACACATTTTAACTCTTCCAAATCAAAGGTTGGGATAGTTCATTATGAAATTTCAGGGGTGACCGAGTTAAATTTAAAATTGTAAGTGTATGACTTCCAACTAGGGTAGAATCACCAGCTCAAAGAGACACTAACCAGATCGTAGAGTCATTACCCTGAACAGAGAATTACTAGACAGAGTCAGACTGAGAGGCCCGAGGATCGCTGTCTAGAAATCAATTTTAACAAAATGCCCAATGGGCATGCACCACTCACCTGTTATTTAGTGGTGTTGGCAAAATGTATTTAAAATCCTAAAACTAGCCACCTAAAGAGCAAATATCATGACTGTAGACCTCATACTTTTGAGGAAGTAATTGCAAGTTTTAACACATTCGACATAAATGGGACATTTCATGTTCATAAAAGCCGTTTATTTGAACAAAAGTGTTAGCCCTTCATCGCAGGAAACTACAGACAAAGCAATATACCTGTAGGTCTTTTACGATTCCTCAGAGGGAAATGTTGACGATAGAAAGATGATGTGCCATTGCATATAAAGCTCATAGATAATTTATGCCAGATGAGCTAAAAAACAAACCAACAAAGCATTGCTATAAATTGTTCAACAAAACCAGTACTACATGATGACCATTGCATTTAAACATGTAAGTGAATGAGTGTATCTGTGTAAGGCGTCGTTAGTGTGGAACACTGTGATCAAGCCTTTTCGAAGTGTCCATCTGTTGCCTCATTATATGTGGGTGGTGGGTTGTGCTGTATGGGGTAGTATTTTCCTTGTGACTGGTTGGGAGCTGCTGTCTCCGACGTGATAAAGTTAAATTGGCCCGGCTAAAACAAACAAACACAAATTATTACGTATCGTTCAAATTTTATAGTTTGTTAATATCTTAAAAGCTTACAAAACAGAAAGCTTTAGCAAATCTTGTGTTTCATCACCTCTTCAGAGTAACTCCCAAATATTGAGTTCTGACAGAAAATTGTTTGACAGTTTTAACCTTGACATAAATCTTTAGTAAAACCTATTGCTGATGCTACTAAATTTTCTATCTAGTAAACCTGAGGTATTTTGAAAGCCGACATAAACGAAGACCAAAGTACCCTCCTCGGAATCGGATTTACCTAGCTTATCTGTCTGGATGTTGACCATGTATCTATATAGAGTTACCTACCTTGTCTGTCTGGATGTTGGACATGTGTCTATATAGAGTTACCTAGCTTGTCTGTATGGATGTTGGACATGTGTCTATATAGAGTTACCTACCTTGTCTGTCTAGATGTTTGACATGTGTCTATATAGAGTTACCTACCTTGTCTGTCTGGATGTTTGACATGTGTCTATATAGAGTTACCTACCTTGTCTGTATGGATGTTGAACATGTGTCTATATAGAGTTACCTACATTGTCTGTCTGGATATTGGACATGTGTCTACATAGAGTTACCTACCTTGTCTGTATGGATGTTTGACAGGTGTCTATATACAGTTACCTACCTTGTCTGTCTGGATGTTGGACATGTGTCTATATAGAGTTATCTACCTTGTCTGTCTGGATATTGGACATGTGTCTATATAGAGTTACCTACCTGGTCTGTCTGGATGTTGACCATGTATCTATACAGAGTTACCTACCTTGTCTGTATGGATGTTGAACATGTGTCTATATAGAGTTATCTACCTTGTCTGTCTGGATATTGGACATGTGTCTATGCAGAGTTACCTACCTTGTCTGTCTGGATATTGGACATGTGTCTATGCAGTGTTACCTACCTTGTCTGTCTGGATGTTGGCCATGTGTCTGTCTGTCTGGATGTTGACCATGTATCTATACAGAGTTACCTACCTTGTCTGTATGGATGTTGAACATGTGTCTATACAGAGTTACCTACCTTGTCTGTCTGGATGTTGGCCTTGGGTCTATACAGATTTACCTACCTTGTCTGTCTGGATGTTGGACATGTGTCTATACAGATTTACCTACCTTCTCTGTCTGGATATTGGACATGTGTCTATATAGAGTTACCTACCTTGTCTGTCTGGATGTTGACCATGTATCTATACATAGTTACCTACCTTATCTGTCTGGATGTTGGCCATGTGTCTATACAGAGTTACCTACCTTCTCTGTCGGGATATTGGACATGTGTCTATACATAGTTACCTACCTTTTTTGTCTGGATGTTGGCCATGTGTCTATACAGAGTTACCTGCCTTGTCTGTCTGGATGTTGGCCATGTGTCTATACAGAGTTACCTAACTTGTCTGTGTTGTATGTCTTGATATTGGACATGTGTCTATACAGAGTTACCTAGCTTGTCTGTCTGGATGTTGGACATGTGTCTATAGAAAGTTACCTAGCTTGTCTGTCTGGATGTTCGACATGTGTCTATATAGAGTTACCTTGCTTGTCTGTCTAGATGTTGGACATGTGTCTATAGAAAGTTACCTAGCTTGTCTGTTTGGATGTTGGACATGTGTCTATAGAAAGTTACCTAGCTTGTCTGTATGGGTGTTGGACAGGTGTCTATATATAGTTACCTACCTTGTCTGTCTGGATGATGGCAATGTGTCTATACAGAGTTACGTACCTTGTCTGTCTGGATGATGGCAATGTGTCTATACAGAGTTACGTACCTTGTCTATCTGGATGTTGGACATGTGTCTATATAGAGTTACCTAGCTTGTCTGTATGGATGTTGGACAGGTGTCTATATAGAGTTACCTACCTTGTCTGTCTGGATATTGGACATGTGTCTATATAGAGTTACCTACCTTGTCAGTCTGTATGTTGGACATGTTTCTATATAGAGTTACCTACCTTGTCTGTCTGGTTGTTGGCCATGTGTCTGTAAGCATTGATAAGGAGGCGATCCCTGTATCTGTATTTCCACAGGCAGGCACACATAAACAGCATCACCAGAAACAGCACAATACCAAACCTATAACACATACATGTTTGTCGGATTTCAATTTCTTGTTTACCATATCAAAGCTTTAAACACAAAATGTATATTTGTTGAACTTTTAATTTTCTGTACATAATTCCAAAATTATAATACACAAATGCTTGTAAGATTTTGTAATGTTGTATTAATCAGAAATAATTTGGCCGAAACATGTCAGCACTTAGGTTGTAAATCAAACATTACATTTTGTACCAGATTTAGTGGTGTTGTTACTCATCATTTCTATTTCAGTTGCTCTGCTTCCCCTGGTGAGCACTGTTGAATACCATTAAGGTATATATATCCACCCGAGGTTCCCTTACGCCACTATGGAACCGACTTCCTTGCAGAGACGTTGGGTCTCCACCCCCCAGTTGTTACTTATCAGAAATAAGGTAAATACAGGTGAGATTATGTCATGATACGATATAGGTGTTAATGTTGTACCTACCAGAAGTACCACAGTTGCCAGACTGTGTATGATGCACAACAGATGTTGTTGCCACAACAGTATTCTGTCTCCTTGCACCTGGAACATAAAACATAAGTTATAATTGATCCATTTCCTCTACCATTATAGGGGCAGCAGTTTTTAGACATGTACAAATTCTTTGACACGCTCCATTGGTTATTTTTTTATTTTTTTATTTTTTTTTATGTCTGGTTATTGTATTTATCTCAAATTACAATCTGATCAATACTCCTTATATAATTTTCAAAAGTTACAAAAGACTGTTTTCTATCTTTGTAACTTGGATATTACCTTACTTCATTCAGTCTTGAGTGAAATAAATATGATAACCATCTTTTTCGATTTCTGATTTTTGGATAAAACAGTTTTGATTAAATAAGCAGGGATTCAATATTAGGTAAAAAGAGACTGTGAAATAGTATAAATAGTTTTCTGACAAATAAAAAGAGAACTTGTGAGAGACTGTGATAAGGTAGCAAATTAACAGACCAGGCGTTACAGTACTTACCGGTCATTGTTACAGTAGTATGCAGACACCTGTAAACAAAAGACAAACGCCTGTATAAAACATCATGTATAGCATAGTGTATGAAAAATAAAATTACTAATTTCTTGTAAGATTTCTATGTTTTAAAGGTATTATGATCAACATGATTGATGCGAAACAGAAATGGATATTACATGGCAAAAAGGCAAAAGCTGGGAGAGAAATGGTGTTGATGGCAGCACTCCATAGTCGGAGGACTTCGTGTTACTCTGCTGCATGTTTATGAGCTCTGGGCCCACTTGTATAAACTCAAGTCTAAGATTTCCCATAGACAATACATTGCTTGAGATTTTCCTTAACTTTGAGATGTTTTATACAAGTGACCCCTGATCATAACCTTTCATGCATCTCTGAGCAAATACAAGTTTGTTGGGTCTTCATTTTTCGTTTGGTTGTGAAAATAAACACTTATTTTATGCATGTCTACCTGCAGGACAATACAGAAAATGAGGCGAAAAAATGTCAATTTATACTGATTTACTCAAATACCTGTAGAAAACTATCTTGTTTTATATAACTTATGAATTATGAATACAACACACTTGACTCAAATAGTAAATTTTGTATAAAATTATACATACATGATCAAGACTCATTATCGCTGGTTAATTACAAAATCGATGGTCTGTCATGAGGTGAGTATTCTGTCCAGCTATTTTACAGACAACACCAGAAAGCATGATTTCTATATGGGTTTTTTTGGTGAATTTTCGTCTTTACATTTTTTGTCACTTTAAAGCCAGTTATCATTATAGAGGAGAAAAGGAGTGATTGCAAAATGACTGCCAAGTTAATTAATGACTTCACTTTGTTTATACATAACGTGAATCACATTGCTGTTTAAGTTTGCTGAGAGACGTATAAAGCCAGTAGTATATATACATCTCTGGTTTGCTCTTATTTGTTAATTCAGCAATTTGGCCTCAGAAATGGTCACCTGAATCTACTAAAACAGAAAAACAATGTACATATCTTTATGCTATGTAGCTCCCCCCCCCCCTCACCAAACAAGCACTGGCATAATTTTCAAAATAAAAGACCCATTCACATCTAAGAAGAAGTCTGTCCATGAAGGCTTAGTGTACACTGATCGTGATACCCGTCTAACTCTTCTATCGACAGTATACAATTGTTTCATGGCTATTTGGGGATGGTAGTTTTGACTGTCCCCCAAATAAGATTGAAACAATTGTTATATTACCAAATACGTATCAGTATCAATGCTGCATGTCATGATGACTCGCCATTGCATTGCTTCGTCTGCATAAACAACACTGAGTCGCGGTCATCGAAACGCTTGAACGGGGCTCTCAAGGGGTAACAGTTCGTTAAAACTTGGAAAAGAGTTTTGATTATTACCCAATAGACTATATAAATTATAATTAGTCATTTTTGACTGTTTCTGGCTTTTTGTCCAATTTCGGCTATAGGGGTGAAACAGTCAAAACTGTTTCTCGGTCAGAGCGAACTGTTACCCGACGCATATTCGATGCGCAGAAATCTCCCATTGAGAGCCCCGTTCAAGCGTTTATTTGACCTCAGCATTGATACTAAAATATCTTTTTGGTAATAAAACAATTGTTTCAATGCTATAAGGGAAACAGTCAAAACTATCATTGGCCTCGGGCAAACAGTTCCCCTGGGCTTCCCCTACCTCTGGATGATAGTTTTGACTGTTCCCAAAATAGCCATGAAACAATTGTATACAGTCGAAATTGGACAAAAAAACAGAAACAGACAAAAATGACTAATTATGAAGTCGATCATCAGTCAGTTACTTTAACAAACTGATTAATCGAGTACAATATCCATGATCGATTTTAGACGGAATTCTTATGTGTAGATATTATGGAGTTTTCAGTAGACATTTTTTCCCAGCTACTATGTTAAATTGTTGGTATCATTACTGCTTGACTTACTTTTAACTCATGGCCACTAGTTAGGACTATATATATTACAGATTCAGTGTTTGAAGAGAGGTATTTCTTAAATTATAATTACATGGTATCTTTTTCTTATTTGCCTTTAGTGACTCGCAACAACAGCATGGAGGATTTCACTTAGTCGTTACTATACAGTACTGAGAACTACTGCGTAGTCAAAAAGTACTTCATTTACATCATACCAGAGGCAGAGTCAGTAAATAATAAAAAATAAAAATAAAATATAACGCAAAAAATGTCATCAAAATATTAATGAGTTATGACAAATTGTTACAATTAGTGTGATATATCAGAACTAACAATCATAATAATGAAACAAAAACAAAGACCGCCACGTTTGTCAAAATGCCCAAAATGTAAACAGGCGATTACACAATGGCGTATTGGATTTTTTCACGGGGCTGTTTGAGACAAGTATTTACATGTCCTATCTTTTACATTGTATTCAAATAATCAACTGCTGATCGGGTGCACATTTATTAGGATAAAATAAATTGATACTTACCGTTTTGACGAAAAAGAGTACATTGCTAATGGCTAACAGAAGTGTTTTTGTCGCCATATTGTATACCTTTGACCTAAATATTAACCTGAATAACCTTACGTAGCGTATATCCGGTTCCGGCTGAAAAGCCAAACAACATGGTTCGATGCATAGCAGGGACATCTTACGTTTTTGTTTTTTTTTTCTCTAAAGGCTGAAAAAAAATCGAAAAATATTTACAAAACTCAATTTCTAGCATATGCATATTTATGAACAAAGGAAAGGTGTTTTAGATGATTCTCATAAAACCGTAACGCATCAAGCTGTTTCGCCCCTAATTTGATTTCGCCCGCAAAAAAACATAACGTCCCAAGTATTTCGCCCCAAAAAACTACAACGCCCAAAAAATTCCTCCATAAAATTTACGACAAATTAACAAATTTTAAAGTAAAATTTCTAACTTTTATGTAATATTTTTAAAGATAGGCATTCAAAAATAATCAATCTATAACGTGTTCTGCCTAGTTACAATATTCTTCCATGGACTTAAAAACAACTCATCTAAGTCAGTGATTCAACATTTTAAACCAACATTATCATTTTCGTTCTTCATCGTTGAAAATTTGAAATAGCTGACATTCATGCTGATATCTCAATATGTTTAGGGTAAAAACAGTATATTTGCTTCTCAACTGATGAAGCACAGGCAAAAATGCCTATTGTGTAATATGAAGATCAGAAACTCAGCACATCATTTGACATCTTTTACTTTTCACAAATTGAGCTGAAGATCTCTTTTATCAACATGCAAACTGACAACTCATCAAAACAATTAACGTTTTTAGAAAATTTACACGAACGTTAAAAAAAAAAAATGGTCTCGGGCGTTACGGTTTTGGGTCGAAACGTCTGTAATTCCATGAAAAGCATTTGAAAATGTTTAAAAGTACAAGAATAAGACCTTATGTGTTGAATATTCGCTAAGCGCTTTTGGCTATGAGGTTTGTCCCCCGGGCCGGGGCATGTCAGTCACGTTGAAAACAAGTAACCTCAGCATGGACAGATCTATTAACCGTCATCTTGGTAAAATGTAACTTCAACATAGACAGATCTATTATCCGTCACCTTGGTAACATGTAACCTCAGTAACCACTCGTCACCACCTCGCAGTGGTAACAATGTTTTCGTCATAAGAGAGAGAACGATTTATTCTATCTGAGATAATCTCTTTCATGCTTGTGCGAGCTCTGAACGCCTGGCACCAATATTTTTTTTTAAGATATATTAGAAAAAGAAAGACCATCTAGGTGAGGATTGAGTTCACTAAACTCAAAATTTGATGCTGTTATATAAGTTTCGTGTATTTAATTGCACTTGTTTTTTTTATTTAGTTAAACAGCCGCTCTAGTACAAGAGGTTTCGATAATTCATTTTTGGCATACTGTATCTATTAGCAAATTATAAAGGAGTAGTTACCTGTTTGTGTGTTACGTGCATCCTTCTTGTATATATAATCATGTGTAACTTGGACGATCAAAAAGCCAACATATTCGAGATTTACTTTAAGCATCAGGTATATCCCATCCTCGATATCCAGGGGTTACGCTCACTTTCGCTCTCTACACCCCTGGAATATGTCATAGCAAAATTGAAGGCACGAAGATAGCTGTTTGATTGGTCTTAGTTAAAAAAACACCTGACAAATCGCTAGGCGGATACCTGTCCTTTGAAGATTACAAAGGAGAGACGCCCGACTTTAAAGCCTGTCAATTTTTACCGTTACCTGACCGCGATATTTTTTTGATGTATATCAAAGGATCGAACTAGTCTTTTTGTCTCATCAACAAGGTGGCGCACACTGAGCCTGCCATTTTGCTACGACATATTCCAGGGGTGCAGAGTGCAAAAGTGAGGGTAACCCCTGGATATCGAGGATGGGTATATAATATCCCATCTGGAGAGTAGAAGAACTAGGAGTCACCTCCCTTGCACCATCGCTGAGGTATGCAAGACCTATGTAACTACTAGCTTTTACCTAGTTTATTTAACAACAATGAAGAAAGGGGGAGTTTAGCTAAATTAAAAATGGCTTTAATGCACAACACAAACTTACAGGAAATATTCACATTCTCACATATACAATAACCAATTATACAATGTTATACAATATAGTACAAATGACAGCCCTACAACATTATAAATTTGTTTACACAAAAAGCAGCATACATCTATAGTTTTCATGTAGTTTTCATATAGTGTCGACGTCAATGTAAACAGATCCAGCTTCTTGGGACGCATCTTGATACTGTTCTATAATTATGTCCGGTTGTGAGTAACATGTAGGTACAGAGTTTTTGTGATGATGACGCCAGTGATTGTTTAGCCGGGATTTAAAACTATTCAGGGAGGGGGCCTCTACAACTATATTTGGGAGAGAGTTCCACACGCATACGACCCTACTACTGTACAGGTTCTTGGTTACGTTGAGCCCCATCCTTCTCTTGAAAAGCTTTTTGGAGATCCCTCTTGTTGTGACCAATGTAGTCATTTTTTTTTTATAATTTTGTCTTTGTCAAAAATGTCAATGTCATTGAGGTAGCACTATAAAGTCGGCATCAGTTCCGCGCTATCACAAGGAGACAAACACGAACATATCGCAGCCTCCCAAAATACACTCATACACTACACGCATGCATCTTACACACAGGGGAGGCCGTCCTTTAATGACCTTAGCTGTTAATAGGACGTTAAACAAAATCAAACAAACAAACAATGTCATTGATGATTTTATAGTACGACATCTCCTCTCAATCTCAATCGACATCTCCTCTCAATCTTCTATATTCTAAACTGGGGAGGCCCAGTGTACAAAGTCTTTCACTGTAGGATTGTCCTTTTAAGAATGGTAAACGTCTTGTTGCTCTGCGTTGGACATTTTCAATGGCATTTTGATCTTTTTTTAATCATTGGAGACCATATGCAGGTGGCATATTCCAAATGTGGCCGCACTAAACTTTTAAACAATTGGATAAACACAGAAATATCAGTCCGAGGATTCTGTTGGCTTTGGAGACACACTAGTTTACATGATCACTACAATTTAGTTTATGGTCAAATACCACTCCCACATCCTTTTCTTTGATCACTTTATCAATGGTTACTTCATTTTGTCCACATTTTGTTGTGCCAGCCGAGTCCCTGGTTTCATTTCCTACTGACATGTGTTTACATTTTTTATATTAAGTTCCAATGATATCGTCCTGGAGTGTATTCCTATCATCGTCATTCGACATTCTGGAGAATAACTTTGTATCATCAGCAAATAATTTAACTATGGATTGTACGACTTGCGGCATATCGTTGACAAACATCAATAATAAAAGTGGTCCTAGGACACTTCCTTGTGGGACACCACTGGTTATATTACTGGTATTGGATATTTCTCCACGGATCACCACCTTTTGCTTCATCCCGTTAAGATGTTTTTAACCCTGAATCCCATATTGTTTTAATTTAAACAACAGCCGTTTGTGAGGAACAGTGTCAAATGCATTGCTCAATTCAAGGTATATAACATTTATCTGTTGTCCGTTGTTTATTTGTTAAGACCAGTCTTCAAGAACCTCTAGCAGCTGGGTAACACAAGATTTTTTCCATTGGTGAATCCATGTTGACATTTGGAGAAAAAATTGTTGGTATCCATATGTTCCATAATGGCATCCTTGATAATTTTTTGCATTATTTTTCCTAGATCTGATGTTAAATTGATTGGTCTGTAGTTTTCTGGGCAGGTTTTTGATCCATATCTATGTATGGGGGTCACAACGGCATTTGTTCAACCCTGGGGTAGTTTACCCTCATTGAAAGATTAAAAAAAAAATCGAATTGGTGTGACAAGCTCGTTAGCTGACTCTAATAGTAGTTTTGGATGGACTAGGTCGGGACCACCTGACTTAGTAGGATTTAGTAGCCTTATTGATGATAGTATTTTGTCTTTCGTGATGTCAATGTCGTTGGTTGGTTCACGATAGTTTCTTGTATTGAACACAGGTAGTGGTTCATTTGTTTCGACTGTGAAAACACTTGTAAAGTAGTTGTTCATGATCTCAGCTTTGGCTTTGTCTCTATTGTTAGATGTCAAATCACCATAGGCGTCTTTAATATTTCCAATTGTACTTTTAGTCTTGGTCTTTGACCTAATGTATTTCCAGAATGTCTTACTATTTGATTTGATGTCCATGGCCATGTTCCTTTCATAATTGTATTTTGATGATCTAATTTGTTTCAAAGCTTTGTTTCTAGCTTTCTTTGTATTCTTTCCAGTTCTTTTCGTCTTTACAATGAAGATACTGGTTTTCTTGTGCCTAATAGCATGAAATGCCTCCCTGTCAAGTGGGGTTCTATGAGTAAACTTATCATTTTTGATCTTGCTCACTGGTATGTGTTCTTGAACGATAATTGATATAGTCTCTGCAAAGACCTTTCATTACTCATTTAACATTTGATAGACATGGAGCAGATCAGGCCAGTTGACATCTTTGATATTCTCTCTGACCTTTGTGTAGTTGCCTTTATGTTAATTCAATCTTTTTACTTTGCTGGTGACGTTTTCAGTATATATGTATATAGATCGAAATTCAGAGAGAGATGATCACTTATTCCAAGTCCGGGTTCATAGTTTATCTCGTCTAGCATTTCATCTTCCTTGGTGAAACAAGATCTAAGGTGGTGGGTTGATTACCTTCTCTAAATCTGGTAGGTTTGGTAACATGTTGGTAAAGGAATTCATTTCTTGCACATTCTAAGAATTTAGTAGCCAGGTGTTGATCCGATACTGATGTTGTATTGGTTTTTCAATTGCTGTCCTTGTAGTTGAAGTCCCCCATGATGACTATGTGACTATACTGGCAATCACTTCGTGTAGAGCAATAGAGTTGTCGGTGTCACTGTTTTGACTTCTGTAGATGGTTCCAATTAGGAGCTTGTCGTTATTCTTGAGATCAATACTGCACCAAACTTGTTCTGAAAAAAACGACAGTTGGTTGTACTGTTATTGCTTGTAGTTTAGATTTGGTGAATATGATCACACCCCTCTTGTTGTTGGACGTGTC